GGTACATGAATTGCTATTCGAGTACGGTGAACGTGAATCGAGCTCGGTTGCCCAGATACCAAATGTGGTCCAAAAAAACGACAATTAAAAAAGTAAATGTATCATTGACAGCCAGTGGGGAGCCGCATATTCCAGAAAATTTCTTGAGGTCTACTGTGACTTGATTTTATTACTACACGTTATACGCCCTCGCCATCAGTCAGGAATCAGGCCGCCAGATCGATCAGAACACATCAGGTAGGTTCACCTTGAAAACAAACTTAGCTTTGAGTTTCATTAATTCTTATTTGATCTCAAAAGGAAAATTAGATAATCTGCATACCGTATTTCTTCACCTATAAGCCGAGCGTTTTTTTCAGTATTTGACACAAAAGTTTGGGAGATTTTTTCACAAGAAACAGGGTTCGGCTTATAACTGAGGGTTTGGGATTCAAAAACAAATACAAAGATAGTTTTAATGCCAAATAACCGTAAATTCCGTGACTGCAGCGCTCTTTCCGTGACATGCTTTAAAATTGTCATGAAAACAACGTATTTCTGACCACCAATCAGATTCTTTGCTTCCCGCTGAAATTCGATCTCACACAACTCGGCAAAAACTCCTATCATTTCACATTACAATTGAAATTTTTGGTTTCTCTGCTGTCAAAACCGAAAGAGATACTCGATTGAAACGTTTGTCATGTTTCAGTAACTGAGAGTATTGTTGTGTTTCTGCAGTCGCGTAGTAGTATTTACATCTTCACTGATTCGCTTTTTTTTCTTTTGTGTTTATTCTCATCCGTTAGCTTTTGTGTTCATTGAGCCATTTCCCAATTTTTTTCCGCGAGGTTCGCTCACTCAAATGGCCGGTTACAATCGAGAATTTCGCTCTCGGCTTATAGCCAATGGTTTTGCTTTTTCTTTTGGACAACACGAGTCTGTTGGAACGTCTCTAACTTTTAGGGTCTCGGTTTATGGGTGAAGAAATACGGTATCTATTCTCTTTTGCTCTGATTTAAAATGAATCGCGATAAAAGCGATCTTCGCAGTAATGAGCACTACTAAGACAACAAGGCAACTGGGTATTGAAAGAGCACTGCACCGGTATCACAAAGGTTATGGGTTCAAATCCAGTACAGGCCTGAATTTTTTTCAGGTCTCATTTCCGTTACTTTCTTCGTCGTAAGCGTTCAACTTATCGAGTATTTCTTTGTAAAATACAACCTCGACTGATCATCTTAGCACTAGTCATAATTTTACACATAGGTTTAGCTTGACTGTATTTTAAAAATTAGTGAAAACTGAGGTGATCGGACAAAAAGTACTGCTCTAACACTCCTGTGCCAAAATAGTAATGGTATTAAGTTATGTATACCTTAAAAAAAGCAACATTGTGATTACAGCACAAATCAGACACTTGTTACAAGACGAAGAAGTATCATGAAATAAAAATTTACCATCTTTTTTATTCTAGTTAAGAGGAAGGTGATTCTTGGTTTTTCCTCCAAAAATTCAGATGCTGGAATATTCACATAGATTGGACACTCGAATAAACACATTATGTAGAGCTAATTTGGACCTCCACAGATCTAAACGACTGTTGCAATGGCTACTATATCTGAGGAAACAGGCTTTCCTTCAAAGTTAGCGCTGTCTTACAATGATTGATACAACTTGTGGGTTATTCATTTGAACGCCTTTGTGATTGAAGAAACATTTGGTTTTGCCGGAACTGTTTCGTCCATTTCATGTCCTAATCGAAGCAAAACATCTCAAACAAAGTGATAACCAAGAGACGAGATCCCTTTTCTTGCTTGGAAAAAAGAAAAAAAAAAACAAACAACGTTGTTATTCTTACCACTGTCAGTATAATCATTATTTATGGGAAAAGTGAGAAATTGTTAATATTTTTTTCTATTCAAGGCAGTTATCATGGCTTCCATACTCTGTTATATGACGCTGTTGTTGTGCGCTGTAACCTTAAGTGAGGGGTGCTCATGCGCAGTTCCTACGATACCACCATCCGTAGACTGGACAGGAGATGCTTTTGAATACTGGAACAAGCAACGGTTTTGCGATGCAGACTTCGGTGAGATAAGTTTTTCAAAATGTTTAGTTCAAATCTTTCTCATTGACTTGGTCGGCTTGGCAATACTCTACTTTACATTTCACCGAGGAGGAACATGGTCCATAAACCGTGAAATCTTTATGGCAGCCTGATTAAAAAAGGTTATTTTGGACGCAGTTATGCTGAAACTTACTTAGTAGCCTAACTGCCTATATGTACATTGTTCTCAAATTTTCATCACCACCTATATTTTAAGTTGTTTTCGAAGTCTTCGTTGACTTTGTCAAGCCTTGTATTTACTATTAACTTCCTTGCAACAGCTATCAAAGCCAAGGTTTTAAAGAGGTTAAAACCAAGGATTTCTGATGATGATGACCCTTGGTCAGTTGGCCCTGCGAGCTACACAGTCAAAGTTTTGAATACCTTCAAGGGATCGTTTAACGAAAACGAAATAATTCAGTTGAAAACTCCAGCCCTTGAATCATTGTGTGGTGTTCACCTTAACGTTAAGCGCAAATACGGCAAAACAAAATACATCCTCACCGGTAGAAGGAGCAACGGGCAATTAGAAATTATGTTGTGTGACTGGTTCGAGCCGTGGAGTGAAAATACGTTGAAACAAATCCGCAAGATCAGTAACAAATGTTAATCATTGTTACTGTTAGTTAAGTTCGCACGATCGGTTGTAATCGAATACTGGGAGATATTATATTCTAGAATGGTTCATTAGCTCTTTGACGCGGTTTGTAAAACCCTTTATTTTATCAAATGTTGGGAATAAAGCGAAAAAAACACTTCGAGTCTTTTTAGTGCTTCGTGGGGGTATAGCAGAGGATGGGGAGGTATCCCAAATGAAAACGTGTGTGAACGAACTACGATGATGGCTATACTTCTTAAGACTGCTTAATCAGTTAGGGAACACAAACCCATGCAAAGACATTTAAAAGTAGAATGCACCTCAGCGGAAAAACGAGGTTCCTCTGATAAGAGAAACAGAGAGATATCACGAAAATAGGGGCTTTGGAAAACTTTCGAAACAAACGATCTTTTCAGATCAGACAATAAATTCTCACGGCAGCTACATCACATGCCTTATTATTCAAGCTCAGAGATTTGGTGACACATGAAATAAGATCCACCCATTGCTGTTTTTCTGTCCCCTCTTCGCATTTATATGCTGTGGGAGAGGTTGGGGAGGGGGGTTCGGAAGAAACATAGAAACTGAGAAAAATAGTATCACCGCAGACTTTGGTGAGATAACTCTTTGAAGTTGTTCAATTCCAAGTAGACTATTTTTGGTATCATTTTGTTAAGAAGGAGCAAGCTCCAAAGCTTTATAATATTTCCCTCTGTTGATGAAAAATTTCCTAGGGAAACTATGTCGCCTTGTTTGAAAATTCCAGAGTTTTACCCAGCATTTGCAGATCGACGCCACCATCATCCTTCTAAGGCTTTGTATGGGACAACGGGAGGTACTTACAGTGCACGCGTTTTCCGTCCTGTCTATCTATTTAACTGGGTGCTTACTTGGGAAATTATGCGCCGATCAACGTTCCCCGGGCAACTCACAGGCATTTAACTGTCATCTATGCCCAGGAGTGAAGATTTTGACTTCGGGTCGGATGGGGAATTTGAACCGGAAAGGTCGAGTCTTAACAGCGTAATACACATGTGTGACCCACTCATTTTCATGCCCGTAAACACAAACTCAATCATTTTGTCGCTATGTACTCACAATTTTCACCGAAGACTACACTCGATCGGGGATGTCTTCGATTGCCTCTGTCAATCTAATTGCCAAGCCCTTCTTGGGTTGAGAGGGTACGTTTCTCAAGAAACTGTGGTGCTGCGCCGGTGGGAGAGTATAACAAGGTAATTTGGTATTATCAACTGAGTTGATAACGTAAATTGGCCAAAGTTAAGAGTTTTCAAAGCTTTGAAACTCCTAACGTTGGCTAATTTAGATTCCCCTTTTTTGTACTGTGATCTTATTGCGAAACTTTCAATTCCTTCAACAGCTACGAAAACCAAGATTTTGAAGAGGTTCTTACCAATGATTAATAAGCCTTGGTTGTTCGTGACCTACACAGAGCAAATTTTCAAAACCTTCAATCGAACTTGTTAGGATTAAAACTGCAGCCGATGGAGCGCTCTTTGGGGTGGGGCTAATCACACATTAAGGTAATGAAAATAAAGGAAATGATCACCAACTAAAGAAGCTCTTGATTGCTAAACAAATTCTCCTTGTCAGCACCTTTGGAACTGTATAGAGAATAGTATGGAGAGTTTGCATTCTGATATTAGGGTGTTAAGGGTTAAACCTTCGTAAAACTTATATCCTGGTTGGCAGAAATGACGGCTCTCAGTTGAGAATCAGCCTGTGCAACTGGCATGAGCCGTGGAATTGTGATGTGGAGGAACAAATTCGCGACGCGCAGAAGAAATATTGATTGTTGTTACTGTTATTTTAGTTGGCTCGATCGGTTGTAAGCGAATGATGGGAAATGTTGTGAAACCCTCATCACTTTTATGCGTTTGGATTTAAGTGTGTATACACCATAAAGGCTTTTAATCTTCTCTTAGGGTGAAAAAATAAAAGGGGAGAGGCGTGTCTCGTGCAAAATGCGAGTTCATTCAGTATGGACAAGATGTTACACTGAAATACAAAACCCGAACGTGACAGATCCACGCAGGTCAGCAGCATTTTACTTATTTTATCAATAGTCTATGTGAGATTATGGTTTTCAGTCAAATCTTTCATAAATGGAAAATTGAAAACAGAAAATTTCTTTCTTTCGCGTGGAGTGTGGGTGCATTTCCAAGTAAAAACTAAATTGTCATTGGCCTTCATCATTTTAAAAGCCAAATGAAACATTGGCTCGGATACCAAGGCTTCATAAGAAAAGAGTGGCTTTTAGATTAACCCTTTACACCCTAACATCAGTATGCATATTCTCCATACCGCTCTTTATACACTTCCTAAGGTTCTGACAAGGAGAACTTGTTTGCCAATCAAAACGATCTTTTCTTGATGATCATTTCCTTTATTCTCATGACTTTAGTGTGTGATTCAGCGGTGATACTGTTGGGAGAAATTAGATGCTAGTCACTCGTAGAGTTTAAAAGCTTAAAAGGAAAAAAGCCGTAACAGTACGAGATATGAATTAATGATAATATATTTTACAACTAACTGCTCCGGTTCGATTTTTTGAGCGCGGTGGCTACCAACCACATGTTGTTAAACTAGCGTCTTCTTAACCCTTTAACTCCAAGATAAAATTTGTCATTCTCCTTACTGTCAACCATACAATTCTTATGACGCTACTTCAGAGAATTTAGTATTGGATCAACTAATTATCACCAAATTGATATTTTTCTTTATTCTCGTCACTTTTCTAGTTGATATTGTATTGGTATTGTAAGGAGAAATTCTGTCTTGGTCACTCGTGGGAGTTAATGGGTTAAAGCACTAGAGAGAAGCTCTTCCAAAGTCATAATGATTGTGATACACCAAAGACAGTTGTCATAAAATAAATAATTCATTCTGAAAGTTGAAGAACCCGTTTCAGTTTATTAAGAAACGTTTTCTGAAAACAGTGTTTTCAAAATAAAAGGTAGCTGGAATGGCCAAAAAAACCAAACGAACACAAATAACATCGTTATAACTGAATATCCCGAGAGATAAGGGCTTGAAGTAACAAATAATTATATCATTTTATATTTGATTGATGTAAGCATTTCCTTAATTAAAAGCCCTTAGAGTTTAAAAATTTCCCAACCACGTCGAGTATGTGATTATTTTGATTTCATGGTATAAATAATCAGCGATTAATTGAATCTAAAAAATTACTTTCTTACAGAAAGTAGGTGTCACTATTTTGTTATAGGTTCTCTGCACTGTATAAATAAACTTCATTACATATATTTAAACAATCTTAATTTTGAATTTGAAGATTAACGATGAAAATGGTTTTTCTACAACGAAAAACCGAATAAGTCACCATTGACAGTTCAAATGTTTTTCCAATACTAGTTCTCAGTTCCCTCGCTGGTTATTCAATATCAAGGAGCTACGTCTGTGTCCACGTCTACGCCACTCACAATCACTTCCTGCTTTTCTTGTTGCACGAGCTTATCATATTCTAACACGGTCCGATCACGTGAACCGGAAGTAAAGTGGATGGTTGGAGCGTCAATTGCAGCGTTATACTTCAGTCGCTTTTAGATAAGGCAATTGTTCTAGGTCGATATCATCTGTGTACACGTCTTTATCTAAAACTGAAAAAAAAAAAAAAGAGAAAATCAGGAAATTAATAAAACTAAATTTTGAAATACAGCTCTTATATAGGAGAATTTTGTATTCATAACCCTTTGACCCTAAGAGTGATTAGCAGCTAATTTCTCCTTACAATATCACCCCTGAATCAAACATTTAGGTCTCGAGAATGAAGGGAATGATCACCAACTGTAGAAGCTCTTAATCGTAGAAAGAAATTATCCTTGTCAGCACTTACAGAAATGTATAGAGAACAGTGTGGAGTATGCGTACTAATGTTGAGGTGTAGAACGTTAAATTCTGGCAATCAATGTGTACCCCGTGGAAACGAAAAGTTGTTGAACGTGGTTAAAGGCGTCACCAACGAGAGTACTAAAACGTTACACCCCTCTTGGCCTTCCTGGTCACGTCAACGATAACTCGTGATTATAGAACACTGTGACATACCCCTTGATGACAGAAAATGCCTTAAACTGCTCCTTGACGATGCATTTCACGTTAAATGAAAGCTAATCTCCTCCTCTCATTCAGAACTGCTTTTAGCTCACACAACACCCTTTAACCCTGTACACCCTAAAATCAGTATGCATATTCTCCATACTGTTCACCATACATTTCTTGAGGTGCTGACAAGGAGAATTTGTTTGTGACGTTAATGTGTGATTCAGGGATGATATCGCAAGGGAAAATAAGATGTTAGTCACTCTTTGGTGAAAAGGTTAAGATGCGATGCAGCCCACTGGTTGCAAGACTTCTATTCCCTGTACTTACCTGTCATTCGTCGTTTAATGTTTGTGGGAGGTTTACGATACAAAAGAGCTACAATCAAGAAAGCAAGCAGCGCTTCAATCCCAGGGAATACCGAGAAGGCGCCTCTGAGGTACTGGGCACAAGGTTCGCCACATATCCTGGAAATAGCAGAAACTATGTTAAACATGCGCCACGAATAGAAACGTAACGAGTCAAGTGCTAAATACAGGAGGTTATCTTGATAAATCACCAAATTCTCTTCACTAGTTTTCAAGGGAATATATCTGCTTGAAGGGAGTATTACAAATCACATCTGAAAAGGCCAATGAATCAACTCACCCTTGTGTCTCGGGATAATATTCTTGTAGGCCAAGAACTATAAAACCAAGCGATGCTTTATCCATAAGAGCGCACACACCGTACACAAAACCACTAGATTTCTGTAGAGCAAACAAAGGTTAGGTCAGAAAAACACGTACTGCTACACACCATGGAAGAAATATGTGTGATTCTCTCTAGTTGGAATGGATGCGAAGGTTTACATCTCTTTCCCTTCAGAAGGTTTATGTATGTTTCACTCCCCCCCCCTCCCCCACTCCACCTCCTTCTCCCTCACTAAATCGACTATAAGACGTCCATCCGATCTTATCTAATAATCTTGCGGACGAACTAGGAGGGTGGGGGCGAAATTGCAAAATTTCATGGAGCAAAGTAGTTAAGGTTGTACTAATAATGGGGTGAAACATCCAGATATCAAGGGGAAAATTCACCAGATTGGCCTTCAAGGGCTTTACGTTTATCCCAGAAAGGATGGATGACGGATGGAAAATAGTGGAAAGCTTGACGGGGACGGAAAGGGATACAGGGTGATATAAAAGTTTTAATACGTAGAACTATTGGTGCAATTTCCTGGCTGAAGAAGAAAGAATCACCAACGGAAATTCCTGAGGCAAATTATCCACGTTTCTGAATCGAAGAGAATTGCGGAATGGGGTCGTGCCATGTGTACAAACGGGAAGCTCTGGGTGGAAAGAAAAGGCAGATCACACACTTACTTTATCGTCACCAATGATTTCTGCTACCATGGCTAGAGACGTCACAAGCATCATGGAGTTTCCACAGCCCATGATGATTGTGGGCGCGTAGATCATTTGTCTCTTTGACTGAGGCGTGAAGTAGAACCACGTGGCACAGCCAATGACAACGACTGCACCAACACAAAACAAAACCTGTGTGGAAACCGTGATTTAGCGATGTTACTTGGCTGTACATACATTCTAGTTGACCCTACCATCTTTTTTTTTGACATAAACCTAAAACCTTGTGATCTGTAGGTCTGATAAGAACGGGGGGATGGAAAAACGAGTTAGGGGGGGATGGAAAAACGAGTTAGGAAGAAATAATTTAGAGACCAAGGCCACGCCGAAGAGTTTCCAGGGGTCCTAAATTAATATATTTAAGGTTCCTCCTTTTGCGTCCTTGGTTTACATTCTCTCTAAAGATAGTGAGGCAAATTATTGCAGAGATGGTCAGGAAGCAGAAACTCTGACCAGCTCAAAGATAACGAACGGGGGATAGGCAATCAAATTCTCCCAAAAGTACTGATACCGATCCACAAAGAGCAGTGAGGAGAATCTCACTCATCAACTTACTCTGTTCGAGAAATACTTGTTAAGTCTCTTTATCACTGTGCTCATGAGGATTCCGCTGATGAGGATCATTAATGGAAAGTAAGCAATGGCTTCCTGATTGAAAATAAAACAGAAAGTTAACTTTATTACAAAATCTCACGTCTAGCACTCTGGTTGAATGACCTATTTCACTAGAGTTTCTACCGCGTTTTGTAGCATGAAGCAAGCCATGAAGAGTATTGTTGCACTTCATTGATGGAGAGTCAGTCTATATCATGACCCTTCCTCCCACCCCCAACCACATCCCTTCCCCTCCTAAACATTTTGTAAGCTTTTCCTAACAAATAACCCATACTGTTTCGAATTCCTGTTAGTTCAGGTAAACGGTTAGAAAACCTAAGAGATTTCTTAGTTTAATGTTTCTGTTACCTTTTTTTTTTTGGTCTAACCGTGCCTAACTGTTAGTAACATTCCAATTATTTCGAACAGCTTGATTAAGGCAAACTTTTCCAGTAATTTACTCAGTCACAATCCAGATCTCACAATTATCTTACCTTTCGGAAGTGAAGAGTTTCTGTTAGATACATAGGAAAGTACGACTGATTTAAATTTACCACATTCTGTGTCGCCATATATATTATAACAATCTGCAAAGGTAAAGAGAAAAATACAAGCTAAGTTTAAACTTGGTGTCAGCGAAAAATCACCATTAAGGGTCCTAGTCTCGAACGACGAATGGTTTCCATCCAGGCCACGAATCTTAAGTCGCATTTGCAGCTTTAAGTGTTTATAACTTAACAACACAATCTCTCTACAGAGAACACTTTTCATGGCCTTGATAGAGTCCCCAGAGGGAATGTTCTTAATTTGACTTCTTCTAACGAAAAAGAGATTTTGTATTAATTTCTTTGAAAGCGTTTTCATTACCGAGCGCTTCCTCTTAACTTGTTTTCGGGTTTTGTTCACCGTTGAAAATGCCCCGATTTAATTTCATGTAATCTTTTTCTGCGTTGATATTCAAAGCAAAGAGCCAACGCTCTCACCTTATAAAAGTCAGGATTTTTAAGCCATTTCATCCAGGTTTTCTTTACGTCATCCTGTTTCTGTCTTTCCTGCTTTTGAAGCTCGATCTCAAGGGCTTGTTTTTCCAAGTCCTTACACAGTGGAGCGTCGGCTGAAGATTTTTGCGACTGTTCTTTATTTTCTTCATCTTCCGCTGAAAAGAGAAATCACTTTGGAGATAAATTACCTCATTTGGAAGAACACAGTACATACACAAATAGACTGCAGTCGTAAAACGTAGAAATCCGAATAGTCAAAACTCTAGTTTTCACATCTGATAACCGGAAGTGCGGATTCCGAAAGTCTCAGTGAAGTGAATAGAATTGGGAGTACCTGTACCATGATCGACGTCCTCTACTCCCCAGTGGAAAATAAAAGCGAAAAAGCTTCCAGTTATCATGACGATTATGGATTGATACTGAAAATGAAACAAAAGCGAGTTGGAGAAACAAAACAAACCAAACCAAGCAAACAAACCAAGAAACAAGACAATTTTTTTAATGTTCATGGAACACGGACCTATCCAGTGTTTGTTCGTCGAAAGTGAAAACCACTTCGGACATTTAATTAAATTGAATTTTATTTCAGGTTCTTACCGTAAATTGTTTCTTTGCAGATTCGTTGACAGTTTCTTCACTGTTTTGGCCCAGAAGGATCCAAGTTACTACAAACACAAAAACGCCGCATCCTAGCTTGAGTGCAGATCTGAAAGAACAAAAGGACATAGGAAAAGGGTTAACTTCTTTCTATTCACCACAACTGCTTTCAAAGGCTCTTCCTTCATAACTTGAGTATGCGTTGACAGGAGGCTTTAAGAAGTTGTTAGTGTTGGCGATGCACACTCTACATGAGCAAAAAAAAATCTTAATATTTAATTAGGATCTGCTGAATGAGTCAAAATTTGTAAAAGTGTTTTGTCTTTAACAGGTTTATAAGGCCTTGACGCCACAACCCAACTAAAATTTCTCAGGATTTTGCCGCCCCCCCCCTCCCCTTATCAAGAATGTGAGGTTGATCATCTCTTTATAACTTTTTTCTAAGCTATGCCAGTTTATCTCTTTTACAAATATGAGCAAAATCAAAAATAGCACTGAAAAGGACGCCAACGACAACAACAACAACAAAAAAAGACTGTCTCTTTTAGCACAAAAACCTTGGTTGGTAAATCTTGACTAGATCATGAAGTGGTGGAATATTTTAATATCGAAAAAGACTCAACACCTGGGCTCAGTTGTTCATAGGGCAAATAAAGCTATCCAACGGATAAATCAGTACCCAGGGGTAAGAGTATACAAAACGTACAGCGCTATCAACCGGATGGAAATCTATCCGGTGGATGTCTTTATCCAACCTTCAAATAACCACGGCCTGATCTATTGTTGGTCAATGCTCGAAAAGCATAAAATGTTGTTTTGTTTTTCAACTGGGCATAAGGAAAAACGTTTTTAGCCATGAAATACCTTTAAAATTACAAGAACAACTAGCGTTCTCGTAAGAATTTAATTTAAGTCTGGTAGCTGCCTTTGTGCCCAGCTGGATTCAAAACAAAGAACGCTAGCCTAGCGGTCAAACCGCAACTTCACAGTTATAAGAGCACGCTATTTGGGTTTAGATATTATATGACGAAAAGAACTGTTGTCAAAGCGACCACTGAAAGTAGAGTCTCGAAAAAGAACAGTTCACCCTTTCACTATCAAGATCTCATTAGTTATTCTCCTTACTGTCTGCCACATAATAGTTATGATGTAACTTCGGAGAATTTGGTATTGGATCAACTAATAATCCTTTTTTCATTTCCATCATTTGACTGCTTGATATTGTAAGCAGAAATTGTCTTGGTGTTTCGTGGGTTTTAAATGGGTTAAGGATGTCATGGGGATCGATTGAGACCATACCAAAGAGACACTATAAAGACTCTCATCTCCAACTGAGCTGTTGGGAACAAAAAAAATTTTGGTGCATTTTTCCTTTAATTAAGTATTTGCACAATATCCCCCTATGGTCAACAGTACACAAAACTTAAAACGCACCAGCAAATAAAGAGAACAGTGTTGAATTGAATTTGAAGAATTCAGTGTCTCGTGGATCACTAACCAAATAAACTGATACCTTCCGGAAATATCACCTGACGATTGCAGTGAGGGTGGTAGCCTGCTGGTATTAAATAGTTAAAGAAAAGGAATTCTGGTATATTCTTAAAATAACAACCTATGAAGAGTGCATGATCAGAACAAAACTTGATAATACCGACACGTACATGTGCTTCCGACACGAACATGCGTCTCCGATGTCAGGTTCTTGTCACCGAGAGTATACAGACTCCGGATTTCCTCCCAAATCATACCGTGTGATAAAACCAATATTCTAAATTTCTTTACAACTTTTAATTAATTTGGTTTTTCTCTTGTGGTTTTATTACGGTCAAACACCTTCAAGCGACATTAAATTCCGCATTTTCGTATGTTTCGGTTGTTTCTTTGAATTTTCTCGCTTTAGCACGTACAGTAAGTGCTAGGGCGCTGATGAATAATGCTGCCTTGATCACGAATCGCACTAACTTCTCTAATCCTTTGAAATGCTTCTAAACTTAGAGTTCAAAACGTTTCCGTGAGGTGTTTCCGCAGTTCTTCTTCCCATCACGTGGGGAAAATAACCGCAATTTAATCCATTTAAAACCCCTACGATCCATTTCGTTATTCTCCTTTGACAGGGTATACCTTTCCTCGAAATTAAGATCAAATATTTCGGTGCATTAATTCATCAACAATCCCTCTCTTGCAGAAAAGTTTGTCGTTTCTCATTGACTGTTTGTCGGGAAGAGGGTTCCTTATTTATTACGTCTGTGGGTTAGTGGATTAACCAGACACGGCACCTAAAAAGGCGAGTTTTAAAAATACCGTGAATGTCGAGAATGCGTAAGCACAAAAGAGACGGGACAATTGATAAAGTTCTCATGGAAATTCCCTCTTCACAACTTAAGAAATTCATAGGCATGACACGAATCAAAACGAAAACGTTTCAACGAAGTTAGGTCAGACCTTGGAAAATGATATTTCCGGAAATGGCGTTATACAAAGAATTCCACCCCCCCCTCCTCCGCCATGAAAGGTTTGCCAAGAGAGGATCTCGAGGTAAATCATATCAATGTAAGATCATTAAGATCACTAAGATTACAGAAAGATTCTTGTGTCTTAAGATGATACAGATGATTCCCATTTAAGGTTAAGGTTTCAGAGGCACTCATATTTTTAGACAAAATGCGAAGTCTGAAATATGTAGCGATTACCTAATTCGATTAATTTAATTTTTTTAGGTTCTATTTCTGTTTCGATTGTAAATCAGGTGACTTAACCCTTTTAACTCTCACGTCTGACCAAGACAGAATTTCTCCTTACAATATCAATACAACATTAACCAGATAAGTGATGAGAATAAAGAAAAATATCAATTTGGGGGAAATAAGTTGATGCGATTCTAGATTCTCTGAACTAATATTATAAGAATTGTATGGTTGACGGTAAGGAGAATTACAAATTTGATCTGGGAGTTAAAGGGTAAATATAAACCATGACCCATTCAGTCTATCGACTGAAATGAAATATTCTGGAGTCGATAAGACAGAGAGGTATTTACATGCGTTACTTGGAGGTAATTTCGGCACTCTACGTCACGGCAAATAGCACAGAAACTGCATTGAGGGTGACATAATCATCTCACTTGATGACTAACATGACGTAAAACACAGTTTCACTAGGAAAAGGGGGAATTATGTTAAGGTTGATCATTATTAAACTGGCGCAGCTAAGGAATAAAGGGCCTTTCATCTTTTAAGAACAAGGATTAACACATTAATTCCTAAGCATTTTGCAATTCAATTAAGAAAATTATAGTAATAAATGAAAATAGTTTGCCTTTCTAACTTTTGAATAGCATGCACAAAACCTCATTCAACCTTATTGTTGAAACTTCGCTCACGAAGAACAAATTGGCGCATACGATAAAGAGACCCATATCTATAAACCTTGAAGAAATAATCGAACGCACACAGATGTTAGGACGCTCTTTCTAATTATGCGCTTATCGACGACGGCAAATTTTGCCTCTGGTGTCAAGTATTTACTTCTCGTGCGTAGTGATCTAAGCAAAGATGCCAATTCGGTAGATTGGTGATTCAAAGGCTGACGCCATTTTCCCGAAACTCACATGAAATTACAGCCAAATTTAATTGAACCGAACTAGCTTGTTCTTCTTTACCCCGGAGGGCCTAGATTTCACTCTACTTTCGAAAGCGTGCATGTGTTAATCTGGAACAACACGATATTATTCTCACGACCGACAAAGGTCACTTAGTTACATGATGCAAAAAAAAAAAAAATGGTGATCATCATTTATAATCCTGTCGTTCTTCCGATTTCAACGCGTTTAGATTATCTGCTGTCATGAATTTTCCCTGATTGAGCGGAAACGTAACATGAAGGCTCCTAGGAAGCTGTACTGAGCAAAACAACTAAGCGTTTTAAAAACGAAAAAACTTTACTGAATAATTTTGAATATGAATGAAGGGCTCATGAGGTGCTTAAACCCAGGTAAACATATTTACCTTTGAAACACGCTTTCGATGTATTTTTAATGACCAAACTTGAAAGCCTCGTGCACGATCAGAAAAAACTTATGCTATGTGAATTTATATTACTGAAATAAATTTTAGAGGATTTGAATTTGTAAATTAAAGTCTAACAGCATCACTGCCCAGTAAGAAGCGGAATTATATTTTCCTTAGTTGCCCAATGAGCCGAGAATTGTTATCTGTTCCGAAGGTTGCATTATGTATATTAGCTTTAAGTTCAAAGTACTACGTTTAGATGTGAACAACATGTACAAAATATTTCGCATGGAAATCGAAAGCGAAGAACGATGGATCGCGTATTTCAGAGGATGTAAAAGGCATATTTAGTACCCCTGAAAACAAGTTTCATTTCTTTTCAAATTAAAATCATTCGGAAGTCACAAGACATCTGCGTTCGATCACCTGAATCCATTGTTTCCTTTTTCCGCTCGGTGGCTAAGCAAAAGGAAAACCTACCGACGGTAGATGATGCAATAACGACAAATATAATTTTGAACCACCGCGCGGTCAAAATCAGTGAAATGAAAGAAGGAATTACTTAGTACATATTTCTTTCTAAGGCTTTTTAAGATTTCCCCCATAACGTGTGAAATGCCAGCAACAATGTTTGTTTAAAAAACCTCGAGTAGGCCTTGATGAAAAAAATATTTTTTCGTGTAACGAACACGAGTGACAATGACGCTTGGAAAAAAGCCAGACAAACAATATCGCATCATGTAACACCACCTACGATGAAAATCCTAGTAATCCTGCTGCTTTTTGCGAGCAACTTTTTGCCCCTAGAATTTCACATGTACTTACCTTATAGCGCTCAACTCTACAGCATCTTTCGGCCGTTTGGCAACATGAGGCATTAGAGACAAATGACTTATCTCCACCATAGGCCAACAAACACTGAATAGAGCTGCGAAGGCTCCATAGTATGCCACCGGAACCCAGTCAGGGCTATCCTCGTTACAAGCTAAACACGGGCTGAACACAAACGGCCAGATCAGCGCGATTCCAACACTACCGAATAAGTGCCAGATCTTTCTATTGCCGTATTTCTTGGTGATTTTCTTCGAGAGACTCTTGTCGCAACCATAACCGATAAACGGAGTGGAAATCGCATCCGCAATTTGAGAAGCGAGAAAAATTAGACCAGTTCCCTTAGCGGAGATTTTCACGATTTTGTTGAAAAAGATTATAAGATAGGTAAACCACGCTTGAATACAAAGATCGTTGAATACATGCCCTACTCCATAGCAGATCTTTTGTTTCAGTGAAGTTCTTTCTTCTTTGTGTACCAGCTTTTGGCTCGGTTTATTACGTCCGCAAATCCACACCATTTTAGTTTTCTCCCGCTATCCTCTTAAAAAGGAAGATGAAAGCCGGTCCCGCGCGATCTTCGCCTTTGAACTTGCTAGGGAGCAACTGCAACGCCGGCTTGGCTCGATGTGACATTAATGTTCGAGCAAGGAAAGCCTCTTACGATTTCACTTGTTAAATTTGGAAACCTTCGTCATAAGCTTATTGTTCTTCCATCAAAAGTTTGACAGTTGTCAGAGTGACATTAAATCAAAACCAATCATGTGGCGGATCCCAGGGTAGCGATGAAATCCACAGCCAAGTATACCAGGTTAATTGAGTGTGTTTAACTTTGGTGATATGAAAACCCCTTTTACGCATTTCTGGCAGAAGGTTACTTCGAAAGTACTTCGAATTTGTTTTGCCGCAGACATCTAGACGTCACGATTTTAGAATTTGCAATAATTACCGCTTTTAGCTCTCTGGCTTTTTTGTTGTTTATGTCGCCTTGGCGAAAAACAAAGAATATTTGATATTTACTCTGAAGATCAATCAGCTCCCTACAATAGATATTGATAGACTTCTCTATTCATTTACTGTGTTTACAACGTAAAAATAGATTTGTGATCGCGATTCTTCAGAACAAGAAAATTTTTATTTTACAGTAGAAAAAATAATCTTTTGCGGTTCCTGCAAATCCTAGTCCTACGAAGAGTGTAAACGTCATTGTACATGATTTAAGGGGTGTATTGCAAAACAGCATGCACAACATGTTTATTTCCTACAGGGAAGGCCTTTTTTTCCTATTGAAATCCTTTCGGAATTTTCGCAATTTCTAGAAACGAGTTTCCGAAGAGCACAAATGCGTTTTCCGGTTTTCCGGTTTTACTGTCACGAGCATTTTTAAGGTCAAACTGAATAAGGTCAACAAACAGACTTGCTCGTATGATTCGCTCTGTTGACATAAATAATATTTTCATAAAGATAACATCGAACAGAAAATCGGGTCGAGTGAAGGGTGGCGTGATCCGATCTAGTAGAGTAAAATGTCTTTTTAAATTTCTAATTTTAATTTTCAAATCGAGGAGTTTCCTTGTCACGAGGCACTGTTGCAAGAAATATTAGGAGCAAACTCATGCCGATTTCCTAGAGAGCCAAATCGGCCGGATGAGTAGTTTTACATTTAAATGAAGCCGATTCGACCTTTGGGTCATGCACGGTGCTTTCATGTGATCATTTTTACAGTTTTTACATTTTTCAACTCACAGAAAAAATAGCCTGCGGAAAACACTTCATTCAACTAGACATACTGGTATTAACATTAAAAAAAACCAACTGCGGTTTGTCAGCAGAGGGCAGACTGAGCTGTGTTTGTCAGTAAAGCTGTGATAGGGCGTGTGATTGACGTTAAAAATTCCAAAGGCGTTGTCATGTGGACAGTAATGAGCACGAGGACATTGTTTTCGCATGGCAAGACCGCAATTCATTTGCAAACGACTTGTTCTCACCCACGTAGTGACAAAGAGGGCAGTAGCTGTAAGAGAAAGACAAATCGAACCATTTATAGACAAGAAGTATGGAAATATTGATAGACCGAAATAATTTTTGCATCAGATAAACAAATAATAGATGACGGGAGACTTGAAATAAATTTATGCAGTAACAACATATTTTTAATTCAACACACATATCTATATTTTCATTCACAGGGAACGTTTAGGGCTGATAAACTAAAACTTGTTCAGCACTGTCAGTGGTAGCCATAAAACTCATCACAAATTTGTCACATCTATATGCGCAAGGAGAACCTACAGAATAGATAAATATTCCGCTTTGAGGGCACTTTGTGTAGGTGAGGTCCGAGATTATAATTATTTCGGTTGATTTTTGGGATAAAATTACAGATAATTTGGACATTGAGAACCATAGGATCGTATTATGACTAGCGCGTGAGGGTGAGAGTGATCAAATTGAAAAGTAAACAGTGAAGTTTCGGTACACAGCGGACCTGTTGGTCTCATTTCCGACCGTGATAAGGGATGCTTCCAAACGAAATTGTTAAAAAAAAACAAAAGGTTTTAGGATATGTGTAGCTGAGATAACGGAAATAATTCATGGAAAGCTTGCATGAGGCCCCCCCCCCCTCTTTTTCGGAAAAACACGTAAGCTTTTAGCTGTCACAAAGTTCTGGGATACATCATGCTTTTTTAGGTAACATTCCAAATATTTTCACTAATGTTATTAAGGGGTTTGCCTGATGTTATTATGGTCATGAACGTCTTGACGGATGTTATGCAAGGTGCGCACGTGGAAGGTGCACGTGCTGACAACTTTCGATCCCTGTATAATAGAAAGAGATTTGTGGACTCCCCAAATTTTCTTTTATAGCTATCACGCGCTCTCAAATGCGACATACTGCAGGGTTATGTTGGAATTTAACAAAGGATGATGCAGACTACATGGTTCTCAAAATGTTATTCTAGGGTCAATATTTTAACCAAAATTTCATCCTTTCGCTTGTTTGCTTATTAGGCATCTAACAAACGCGAGGGAAGCAGACTGGCAGGGTATGGAGGGCGGGAGACTTCCCCCCCTCCCTCGTACAACTTCAGTAACAGCATCTAACTCCCTCCTCAGCCTCCTAAGTTCAGCCCTTGGCCTGCTGCAGTGGTGAATGGAATGTGATATAAATTATCTGGTGAAAAGAAGGCGATGGTCTCAACTTTTGATAGCTTTAAACAATAATATAACTTATAGTAAAGCTTTATCTTAGGTTTACACTAAATACCACTACTTGCGTGTTCAACATAAATAAATGAAATCCCGCATCATCTAAATAGCGTTTCTTTGTCTATAAAGAAAGTTAATTTAAAACTCCAATTTTTTCTTTGTAGCGTGGCCCTTAAGATACGAAAACTCAATCGTGATCTTTGTCTGTATCTTCATTTCAACTTCTTGCAATTGATTGCATAACATCATCAACAAATTTGAGATTAGGACCTTCAAACCATCATTTTCACTGCATCGTTATTTTTTTAGCCAACCCTACGGCAGTGCAGCATTGTTGCGCCTCCCATCGACCACTTCTCATTCAAACGTTAGAACTAGGAAGTTCAGCGATCTTTTCGTAAAAGTCTGCAAGACATTCCACGGGTATTGTTTGCGTGCTCTGATCTGCTTTTTCAACTGTGGAAAGTTACGTACTTCAAATAAGAAAATGAGAAAAACCTTATTTAAGGAATTAGTAATTATTTATTTCCGGGGGCGAGGTCGTGGAGGATGGGGGGGGTCACTTTGTTTTCAGGGGGTACGGAGGACCAATAGAGTATAAAAGAGATGACTGGTTGATGGCAAATTAACTGCCAGTAAGGGGGGGAAAGCATAAGGATATAACAGAGCATTTGGGTGATCGGGTGAATTTTATCGTGGAACAACCAAAATCCCCAACCCACCCCCCTTTCCCCCCTTTCCCCCCTTTCCCCAGGTGCTAAATAATGAAACTATGGGGATTGAAACTCAGCTGCTTGTGGGTCGTGAAAAAAAATTAGAAAAAAAAACATCTCTTTCCAAACGTAAACATCATACTACTTAATTAATATCCCATCTGATCAATATATTGATCAGATAGGGTGTAACTATATATATATAATTTGACTAATTAACAATATCATTAAGCTCATAGCGTCTCATGTGTGAGAATTAATCATCGTTGCATTTAAGAGAAGATAAAAGCCCAGTGCTAAAGTATAACGGGTCGTAACTTACTTCTTGGCTGACAGGACAAGACAAGTTTTGACTTGAAACAAAGACCAACGATTACCAAGGAAATAACAGCTGATATTCCCGGCGTCAAGGTAAATACAAGGCGCACATAACTGCCACATTGTTCACATATCACCCTGAAAAAGAAATGTACTACACAAGTGAATAGTGTTTTTCGCGCGCACTGATTGGCTAGTTCAGAGGAGAATAGCAAGTACCATTCAAGTTCAATGTGGTGAATAATTGTCAAAGATAGAAAGTTCTTGCTGACGAGTTATGAGTTAAATTACGTAGTTAGTAAAACTGGTAGAAAATCAAAATTTGCCCGCGAGCATACCCTTTCTGTTATAGCACTGCGGCACTAACCTTTTCCCGCTCGTGAGAAAGTTTGCGGCCTCGAGCAACGCAAACTGGTGAGAGGTCTGCAAGGGGTATATGGTCCTATTATTAATGCCAACCCTCGCTAGATCTCTCGTCAGCTCGCCTAATTCGAGGCTTCAAAAAAGCGAAGAAACGCTTTTACCGCATCGCTAAAAATCAGGACCTGATCGCCGCTAGATATTAAATTTACATACCCGTCAGGACTGTCAGGATAAAATGTCTGAATCACAAGCACCACCGCACCCACGAATCCTTTGTCCAAGAAACCCATTACTGAGTAAACAAAGCCTCCGGAGGCCTGGAGGAAAAGGGACAAAAACTTGCTCAGACAAAAACCTGTTACTTAATCTACTATCTTGTCCAAAAGAGATTCTTCTCCAAAGCCGCTTCCTCTGTTTTCTCTCTGCGCACTATGTACGTCGTGCAAGACGACATTGAAGCACGTTGGAGATTCCGTTTCTCTTACCTTATCGATTCCAATCATGTCAGCGGTCATAGACAGCACAGTCACAAGCATGACAGAATTTCCGCAGCCCATAATGAACGCCGCCACGTACACCCCCTCTCGGCCCGAGATTGTCTGAAGATAAAACCAAGCACATGCGCCCAGAACGATTGTGCATGCTAAACAGAAGGTCCACTGAAAAAAGGCAAAGAAACAAAGGAAAATGAATTCCTCAGTCAATTAAGTGAAGTGATATTTTGCCTATGACGATGGTTTTTTTTGTATCATTGAGGATTTTTCATCATTACTGTCCCCTTCCACTCCCGGAAATTGCGTTACACATTTGGTTGAAAATGAAAGAAAGAATATGCCCTCCTATGCACTGATCACTGTGAGTCAAGGTTGGATTTCTCTCTCAGAATCGGTTGATTTGAACCAGCAAGATAAAACAGGAACAATTCAAGTCAAATGGAGTCGAAAAAAAGGGGAAATGAACCTGTGATGCTACGTCGGTGGGAAAGTATAACAAGATAACTTAGTTTTATTAACAGAGTTGATCAAGTAAATCCGCCACCGTAAAGAGTTGCTAAACTGACGTTTCGAGCGTTAGCCCTTCGTCAGAGTGGAGTTAAAAACAATTGAACTTGGTGTGGCTGTTTAACAAACTTGGGACAGACTTTGATTTAACCTTATAGCCCTGAGAGGGACTGGCATCTAATTTCTCTTTACAACTTAACACTGTTGAATTAAACATTAGGTGAAGGAAATGATCACCGAATAAAAAAATTTCTTGATTGTCAAACAAATTCTCCTTTTCAGTACCAAAGGAAATGTATGGAGAACAATGTGAAGAACATACATACTGATTTTAGAGTGTAAATAGTTAAGTTTTCACCTTGGTACCCAGGCTTTTGCTGATTCTCTTTACAAGAACACTTGAAATGGCACCAGTAACCAGGATGACCAGAGGAAAATATGCGATGGCCTCCTGCAAAACGAAATTGAGAGAAAGACGTAATATAGTTACAAATGAAAGAGAAAATTATGAAAGAAACGAGGACACGTTGAAGTATAAAAGCCCGTTAATGAAGAGACTTCAGACTTCAAGTTTAAAGTTTCTAAAGTCCGTCGTCGGCTTTTGTGGGAAAGATATTTGTCTAAAAGTTTATTGTCGACCGAGAAATGTCTCCACGCTGTTTCTAATTGTTTTGTGGAAAACATTGAAAGCTGTAATCGAGTAATGTTTTTACAGTTGGCCTGGGGTAAGCAAAAGCTAATGGAACTTTGTGCTGAGTATAAAAGGAAACAAATTCTGCTTAATCTTTTTTGATTATACCCTTTCAGCTGAACCGTGGAATTACGAAAGATGTTCATTTAAACATACTTTCTGAAAGTGAAGCGTCTCCGTCAAGTAGAATGGAAAATAGGATTGGGAAACATTCACTGTGATACGACTGCAGGTGTAAACGACGCCCATCTGAAAGAAAAACACATCAGTTGGTCAGTGCATGGGCAAATACAGCGTACATCATTAAAACTGACACATTTCACAAAAGACCTTGACTTTTGAAATTCATTGATGCGCAAGGGCGAGTCGTTTTTCTAGTAAACAAGAGGTTTCCCGCCATGTGCGGGAGAGCGGGAAAACGCGTGCAACCAAGTTTCGACTGATTTTAATGTCTAGCTTGCTATTGGCTGAATTTGTGTAAGCGTGGGTTCCATCGGTCAATTGCGGAAAGGTAGTGGAAGCTCCATCTCACCGCGTAAAATTGAGGATCTTTGAACCACTGCCGCCATGTTTTGGGTTGGTGTGAAGGGGCGTCTCTCTCCACAATCTCCACACAGAGGCTTTGATCAGATGAATGTTCGTCCAGCGGTTCTAAGTTAGAACAGAGAATACGCAATTACATAAAAGCTTGTTTTTGTGGGGCGTGTGATATTAACGTTTGTCGACAGAAAATATTGAGTTGATAAAATAATAAAACGGAAGAATGGAAATAGGAAACCAAAATGGAGCAAAGAGGACAAAGGAAAGAGAAGAATAAAGCAGATTGAAAATGACCTTTATGAAAAATTTTGCTTAAGATTTCAGATTAAGGACCCAACTGACAATTAGCTCCTTCAAAGCTAGAAGTTCTGGCTGACATAAGACTATAGTTCGACCAGAACGAAATTCTTCTAATCCACTGAATTTCATGGAACTGCTTGCTGGATCGCTGAGGATTTCAATCAATGAAAACGAAACTGAACTGAGAGAAAAGAAAATGTGCAAAAAATGTTTCTCTATCAGAGGAAGCGAAAGCCCCCTCCCCCTTCTCAAAGAAATAACTTGAAGGTAAAATTTTTGTACAACTGCTAACCTTCTGTGAGTTCCTTCCTTTTACCAGTTGCTGAAGTAGCTGGTTCTATTGTTCCCCAGTGAAACACGAAAGAAAACAGAAATCCAATCGCTACAACAATTAAGCTGAGTTGCTGAAATCAAATAGAAACGCTGTAAATATAATATAACGTTTATGACTTCGTCAGCTCTGTCGAATATTTCCATCAGTGTATTTTCTTAAAAATTTCTAAAAAACTTTTAAACATATCACTAACAGGGAGAACTGTTGAGCAATATAAAAAAAACATTAAAAATAACAGTAAAAAAATTAGGGGCAAAAAACAGGATATTGCTACAGCGCAAAAGGTTGGAACAAACACTCGAACAGGAAAGATGCTTTTTATGGCGTATGCGCGTTCTCAAGCCCTGCTTAGTTGGAAATTTGCGCTGAACGTAAGATTCCGGAGTGTTTTAGTACAAAAAATATCGTTGGAATTTCTTTTGAAGAAAAGTAAGTGACAAAATTTCATGGTACCGTGAATTCTTTGGCTAAGTTAGGGCTGATGCCTTCTTCGCTCGCTTGTCCTAGCAGGATCCATGTTACCACGTAGATGAAGATGCCGCATACAAAAGTTAAACCAGATCTGAAAGCAGACGTTAATGCACAAATTTACATGTGAATACTTTGATGATTAAAAAAAGACTTTCTGAGATTATCAACCCGCTTGAAGGAACAAACAACAATTAGCATGAGCTGTATTGCTTTTGAATAATTTTGTTCGAGGCTGACAAAATTGAAATTATCCATGTTAACATTGGCCTTCATTGTTTGTTTTAATCTTAATTTTTGCTAACCTGTTTAGTCTGAAAGCAAAGGCTTGGAAGATTGTTTGTTTATAAACAGAAAGCGCTAATAGGGGGAGGCTATAAATGTTCAATTAAAATTTCAGTTAAAAGCTTTACAATCTGGACCACGCTGGATTTTCAAATTTAATTTACGAAACAGGGACAGTGAAGTCCAAAAACATCTTTGAAATCACAGCTGCAGCTAAAAAAATTTCTCTCGTGCGAAAACTAAAAAAGACAGAGGCAAAAAAATCTTTATTTTGATTTCTTTGATTTCATTTTGGAGACGAACTTTTGAGATTGATTTACTTTTCTCCCAAAAAAGTACAGATATAACATCGAGAAAAAAGAACCTTTTCCGATAATTCTATTAAAATCACGGTCAACGGTCAGCCTGTTAAGACCTGCTTAATATCACTTTTACCTGACAGCGTTCAACTCAACAATTTCACCGGGTCGTCTGGCGATCTCTGGAATGAGTGAAAGATGCGCGATTTGCACTCCTGCCCAACCGACGTGGAAAATTACCACTGTAACCGAGTAATAAAGAAGTGGGAGCCATTTGGGGCTATCTTCTGAGCATGCTAAGCAAGGACTGAAGATGAACGGCCACGCGACTGCCACGAAAATCGTGCCACACAAATGCCAAGACTTTCTCTTACCGTAAGGCGCGAAGCGTTTAATGACGATTCGATCGCAGCCGATGCCCATAAACGGCGTAAGAATAGCATCGGCGCCTTGAGCGATGAGGAAGAGAAGTCCAGTGTCCGTAGTGGAAAGTCCGACAACTTTGTTGAAGTATACGATGAAGTAAGTGAACCAAACAGCGGAGCACAAGTCGTTGAAGATATGGCCCGTGGAGTATGAGATTCTTTGGCGCAGCGGAGTGCGATCCTTGAGCTTCGAAGCATTTTCTGGCTTTTGTAAGCAGGTAAATAATCGAGGAACGCCCATTTCAGTCTTTATCTTATGTTGTTATGCTTTCAACTATAAGTGATATCTGCTAATGCACTGCTCAGACAGCGTACGACCTTCTTTCAAGTGTATCTGTCACCTTCTGTCGTTCTGCGTCAATTGGCTTCACGTGCCCAAATACCAACAAAAACAATAACAAAAAAAAGAACATCTGTCAAAAGGTTCTGCGTGAAAATGTAGCGATGCGCTTTTCAGTAGATTACCTGTTGAGAAAGTTTCCTTGTCGTTGAGCAATAATGTTTGTTTTGCAATTGACTATTTGTAACACGCCTGGACAGTATTGCTTGTAAAGATAAGGAGATAGAGGAAAAAATATATTTTTATTCCTCCTCTGTACTTCTCGTTTTGATTGATTTTTATATGCTATGAAGAATTTCCTGCGGATACATGGGTTTGGATTGAATTGCCCACCATCCTGCGTGACTCTGCAATTTTCGTTTTTTGCTTTTTTCTTTAACTCTGTAGAAATTATACAGTTTTAGAGAGGACCAACATAGAAAGTATAAGTAAATTATTTCGAACGGGTTTTAGCCATTTGTTCTTTTTGAAAGCCATTTCCCTCTCAAACTTAACCTTTCGCCCCTCTTCTGCTCCCTGAAAACGTGCCTCGTGCACATGCGAGGAGATCGTTATTCAGCAGATGAAGATCATTGCGTAAGGATGACAAATCAATCTGCCCATCATTCCCTTGTCGAGTCAAAGGTGTCATTCTCTTCACCATCGTATCAAATTCTATCAGACGTGCAGCGGAAACGGGGCCCCAGTGAAAGGAAAAGGTTACGCGTCAAAAAGCTTCATTGATCACGAAATGATTTTAACTTTCTCTTTTAAAAGAAGTATATGTAACTTTCTAAAAGCTACAATCAAATTTGTTCTACAAAGACGATCAAAGCGATTGTTTAAGAGACTTTTACATTTCGTATGGATGTTGCGTAATCACATCGCTCTGGTAAGAACACTGACCCGAACTGAATGAACGATGTTAACACGACTATAGATAGATGATATTAAGTAAAGTATGGGGGGAGATTGGAAAAATCTGCGACTTGAGAAACGCCAAAGCCCTTGATTTATAATCTTAGGAAATTCCTTTTCCCCTCTTCTTCCTCTGATTACATCACAGGAAGGCGATCCCAGGGGTTCGAGTGATCTTACATTATTTTTGGGGCGGGGGCGGGGGCCGGGGCCGGGAGCCGGGAGCAGGGAGGGAGAGAGCCCCGGTAACGAGGCGGTAATCAACCTGGGAGGACAAAGACGACAAACTTTTTCTTAGCCGAGTTGTAAACTATTTAATTTATGTCGGCCAATTTACATCAGTTGATAAAACAAAATTAACTTTATCTCTCTCGGACTTGAGAGATCAAAGATTCAAAAAAACGTGGTATTTATGGACCATTACTTTTGATCACCTGAGTCAAGCCGAAATCGACCACTGGAAATCAAACATACAGCATATCCATTACGTATCTATTACTGACGTGAACCCTCAGCGTTACTGCCTATGATAACAACGGAAACTGGCAAGCATTGACAGGCACTGCGGACGCTCCAGCCAGTGTTACTTGCAAGAGGAGCACGTGCTGGAACTTGATACAGAGCCAGGTTTGCTGAGTCAAGGCGTTCTCGTCATCTAAGCAGCCACAGGAGAATGACTCAGGAAAGGATTGGCACGTTCCGGTTTAGGGGTCTTTTGTCTTGAATGTGGGGAACTATGGGAAAAGCTATCCAAAAAGGTCAATTATTTTCTCTACCGTAAGAGTAGTTAAGACTGAAAGATTAATGGGGAAAAACTACTGCACTAACCCATTGGTTGTCATGACTACAGTGAAATCGAAAAAAACACTCTCCCACAAAAATAGATTTATTCTGCCAAAAATACTCTTCATACGAGTTTTTCTTAACCTTCTCGAGTTCCAAAAGAACGTACATTTTTCTAACTTCAACAACGATAAACAAATTCATATATGGCCAAACGTAACGTCCCACAACAATGGGTCTCCAAAATAGATTTATAAAAATACTTTTCAACGTTCTAACTTTCTTGATTCCCTGTGAATGTGCAATTTTCGAACGTATTCTACGAAAAACGTTTTTAATCGTCATCTACATAAATATATTCTCGGGATTAACTCGCAACGAAAACGCAAGAGTGAGTTGAAAGTGATCAAGGCTGTTTTAGAGTGAAGAAATTTAGATAAATTGCCATTGACCAGCTTGAAAAATGTAGGCCTCAGATTTCAAGATGATTCAACAATGTCGTAACTCACATAGCGCTTCGAAAATGAAACGCGGGAAACAGTTTCCAACACATATGATGTCATCTTGTCATGGTTTCATCGTTGTTCAGCCAATCAAAATAAAGAGAAATACAGAGTATTAAGAGGACTCAAACGAATAAATTACATGCACAGGTGCCGCATATTTTATCAAGTCAACAAAAACGAAAATATGGGAAAAAAAAAAGAAAAAAAGCACAATACTAACAAGCAAATGAAAATCAACCCTTTAACTCCCAATATCTCATTAGTAATTCTCTTTACTGTCTGACATACAATTCTTATGGTGTTATTTTGGAGAATTTGGTTTTGGATCAACTAATAATCTCCTAATTGATATTTTGCTTTATCCTCATCACTTCTATGCTTGACATTTTCGAAACATTTCGAACAGTGTAAGATGATGCAGTCAACGTGCCATAGTGCATAAGGCAGCAAATACATCGCTAATAGATAACAGTGTATCCATAGAGATCCTGGTACAGTCTTAGGAGCTCATTCTCCAATTTTGCTAGATGAATCTTGTTCTCTGTTTTACCAATCTTTTGTTCTGTCTCGAGCTGAAACAGAAAAAAAAAAAAAAAATGTATAATTATGTAGTGTCTCGCCTGTCTTAAACCGCCACGCTGAAAAGTTTCGTGACTCACATGGGTTGAAGATACAGCGGTGTTGCGTGACAATCTATATAACTCTAAAAACTCTCTCCAAGGAGACGGAAGCAAACACTAGGATCAGACGACTTCCGGTTGTTCACCTTAGCAAATTGGTACAGTTCATTAACTCGTTAAACCCTGAGGGTGACCAGCACCTTACTTCTTCGTACTGTAATATTGCTGAATCATTGATTAAGATCACGAAAATAAAGGAAATGATCACCAACCTAGGGGGCTTTGATTGTTAAACAAATTCTCACAGTCAGAACCAAAGTAAATGTAAAGAGGAAAGAATTGAGAACGTGAATACTGATGTTAGGATTTAAAAGGTTAAAAGACCACACACATCATTTTCAGCAAATTCAGATGTCTGAGACTACATGGTCTGAGTTTTTGAACAAAGTGTAGCCGTGTAGACAAAACAACCATCAATTTAGCTGAACCTTTTATCTGAACATTAAATTTTTGTGAACAGCGTCAAGAGGGCATAAAGCTAACAGTCGAAGGACATTAAATCAATAAAATCAACCCTTTTAAGCCTCTGAGGCCCATTGATTGCGTAAAACCGTGGTTCGGGTTAGACCTCGTGTAAATAACCGACCAGTAATTTCGTTCTACCAACCTGTTTCTTTAGTTGTTGATCAAAGGCAGCTTCTAACTTTTCTCTTTCAAACAAAAGTTCTTGCTCTTGATTTCTGTGAAGCAGTAACAAGTAAAACAGAGAAAAGACCCTTCACAAGGTAAAGTCAACTCTATCAATAGCCCTAGCATCTAATTTCTCCTTACAAATCACGCATAAAGATCACGAGAATAAAGAAAATGATCAGCCACTAACGAAGCTATGGATTGTAAAACAAATCCTCTTTGGCAGCATCTTAGGAAATATAAGGTGAGCAGTATGGAGAATGTGCCAACTGATGTTAGGGTGTAAAGGGTTAAGAAGACTCAAGTATAAATAAACAGATGTAATTCTTGTAATATTGTACCTTAAAACAAATATTTCCTTTTCCTTTTGTAAAAAGAACTCTTTAACACTAATTTCTTCTTTGAGCTGACTTTCTTCTTCCCTAAAAGTTCACACAAAAATTGCATTCATAAAGTTGTAGTGTTAAGACGTTAAGCGCTGTTTTGCTTGGGTCTAAGGGAGACAAAAGTTCATTCCGGAGAGAAGCAGGGGCCAATGAAGGAGGAACCGTTGCACTATTAGGGGACAGAGGTTTTAAAGAAGCTGGGTAATTGTTCTTCTTAACTTCCAGAGGATGGTCGCGTGGACGATATTGAATAGGAGGCCTTTTTTGTCGGCACTGACATGCCTAAAGCGCGGGAAAACGCCGGTGATCATGTCGTGATTAGTTTGAGTTTTGTATCTGATTGGTTGAGAGTGGCGTGCGTTTTTAGACCAATCACAGAGCGAAGTAAAGCAAAACCGATGCAATTCGGGTTGCTTTCGAAACTCAATTGAAAATTTCTCTAATTAAAAAACAACAACGACCAAAAATCTAATGAACAGAGATTCGTCCAGAGCGCTAAACAAAAATGCTCTAACTTCCTAGTGAGGATTCGAGCTCCAGTGTGTTGCGAATTTTCGGTTTAACGATGAGACCACAGCGAACAACAAGAGAAAACAGATTGACAATCTTTCCAATTTTTTTTTTGGGATACCTGTTACCCGCCATTCCTCTGGATTTCGTCCAGTCTATGTTCCGACGCATTGTTTCATTCTCACAGACGATCCTTTTCAACTCATTCTAAAACAAAGAAAACTTTTGGATAAGGTGAAGGCTACAAAGATTAGAAACACTGACACACAACACAAACAAATAAGACTCCTGTAACACTCTTTTAATATCTCCACTTATAAGCAAGTGAATTTTGTCACGGACATTATTCCAACTATGATTTAAGAATGCTCAGTTGTGTTTTGTCGAGAAAGAAAAATTTCCAAAAAAGAAGAGTACTTGTATTTCTTACGCGAAAATTTAAAGTGGGAAGTTTAAAGTTTACCTGTAAGACTTAAAGTAACTAAAGCCTTCAACCCAACCAGAGGAGATTACAACCGACTAGAAAAGCTCTCCATTTTCAAACAAAATCTCCAAGTCAGCACCAAAAGAAACGGATAAAAACGATGTCGAGAATAAGTATACTACTGTCAGAGGCGAAAACGGTTAGGTGTAATCGTCACTTCCCAGCCAACGACCTATTTGTCCCTCGCTTTCAGTTTGTTAACACACTGACAAATGGAAACATCTCTCAAAAACTCACCTTTTGCTCTTTGAGACGCAGTTCACTCTGTGTCATTTTACTTGGAGATAAGCTCTTCACATCAGAGTTTTGCATCTCGTTTTCCAAACTTTCTAAGATGCCGCTTGAAGATGAAACTCGCTTCACATCCTTAGCATTGAATCTTCCTTGATCGTCAGCCTCCTGACGTACGTGTGTAAAGCGTCGAAACTCAGTCCCTTCTCCCGACTCTTTTGCCAAACCATCAAAGCAGCTTCCGTCCGGAGGAGAATTACTGCTTCCTGGACTTTGAGTCAAAGATGTTTCCTCGTCAATTTTGTTACGGCTACAATACGGTGTGCTCTTGAAAAGCGGCAAAGGGTCGATGTTTGCTGATTCAAGTTTGGTTTTCTGATTCTGAGATAAAGTGGGAGTATAATCTTCAGGTGTGTCTGAAGTGTTCCTCACGGAAGAGGTTTCCTGCAAGTTCGTCGTTGAAGGTAACTCACTATTCTCAATTTCGCCACGAGTTCTAATATTTCCAAGATTTGCATTGGGAAATCTTGGTGCAAATGATCGTCCCCTCCCTGCTGCACCCCTGTTGGATCGCCCCAGAGAAGTTCGGAGCTCCTGTAAGGGCAAAGATACTGGACTATTTGGTTGAATTACACGCATTCCTGCGTAAAATGGTGGTCCAAACGGCAGCCTCGACGCCAGAAGCTGCTGTTGAAGAAAAGCATCAGCATTCCATCCTGGAAACATCCCTGGGTTGAAGACAGCAGGAGGCAAAAATGGCAAATTACCCGACTGGTGCCTCGGAAAGTCAGGGTGTTGGAATCTGGAAGCCATGCTTACCGGCATTGGTTGAATACGCTGGGGTGGCCCATGGGGTCCATGAGGCCCATGGGAAGGGTTGGAGAATAATTGTTGTTTCATGAGGGGTCTTACCGTGCTTGAGTTTGAAGAAGAAACAGGCTCTGGTGTGCATGAAGCAGTAGCGCCTGTAGGAGGATCCGATCCACTACCAGGATCGATTGGCGGTGATACATGCGGTCCCACTGTGCTCGAGCCCGCGGGAGACACAAGTTCAGCCGGAAGTAAAGCAGGAACGGATGAAAGAGGAACCGTTGCATTATTAGGGGACAGTGGTTTCAAAGAAGCCGGGTAAGTGTTCTTCTCAACTTCAAGAGGATGTTCTCGTGGAAGACATTGAACAGGAGGCGTTTTTGTCGGCACTGAATCTGATTCTTTTCCTATCTGAACAAAGGTATCATGAACCTTTATTTGATCATGTCGCGGTGATACACCCTTAAAATCTTGAACTACTTCTCCATTTATGGTAGTCACAGCAGCACCCGTTTGATCCTGATGGGGTACTTTAAAAGACACTGGCGACTCTCCTGAAGTCTCTGGCCCTAGTTCGTTGTAATGCCTATCAGATTCAAAAGAGCAGAGTTCCATGCCATTCAAAGAAGACGCACACGAGTGGCAAGGAGATGGTGTGCTTCCCGCGTGGCTCGAATTTAATACATTGCTTGTGATCTCTTCATGGCAGTTATTGCAATCTTGCCTGAGGGGTTTCTTTAGCGACAGTGAGCCGAAACTGAAAGAGCCGCTGGTTTCTACTTCACTGAGTGAGGTATCACCTCGTCTTGGCGAAGGAGTCACATCTGGGCAGCTTGGAGATGTATAGATTGTCGGAGAAGGAGTAAAATCTTGGCCTATCGGGGAAGTGTACCTCCCTGGAGATGATGTTTCATCAGAGCTGCTTGGGGAGAAGTACCTTCCCTGAGAGACTCTCATGCCAGGGCTGCCTACTGAATCATAGCGTTTGAGTGGAGAGAGCGTAAGTGTAGAGTTTCTTGAATGCAGTGCGTCAGCTTCACAAGGTCTTCCTGAGATAAGTTGGCTATCCGTGTATTGAAAAACTTCCTGATGATTTGTCAACTCCATGCTTCGTAAACATTCTGTATTCGTCCCGTTAGTCACGTTGTGCTCGTAAATCCTACGGCTTTGTAAACCCTCCTCGGTAAAGTGTGTTGCGACTGACTGTTGGTTGGACATATGATGTTCACCGCCGCTGAATTAAGAGAAAACAAGCACAGATAAATAGATAGATAACTTAATTAATAGACGATAAAATCCTTCAGTTAATATATTATAATATATTAATACAGTATTACAAGAATAAGACCTATTATATCACTAAAGCTGCATTTCTGGGATGCCATGTCTCAGACAAAGCTATAATGACGCACTTTAATTTTAAATTCGCATAAAGGAACTGTTGCTCGAAGTTCATGGGAAAGGCTATTCGAGAACATAGCACCCCTGCAGGAAAAGGTTTTCTTCAAATAGTTGGTGCGGGGTTGTGGAACAACCAATAATTTATTATCAGCATCGTCAGTCGGTGTGAAGTAATATCATTTCGGAATATAAATGGAGATTGTAGATATTCACGGGTCAATCCATATAAAGTATTGAGCATCATAACAGAGGTGGCTATCAGTCTTTGATGACTAAGTTTTCGCCCGCTGAGTGCCTGGAACAGCTCGTCAATCTCGTCCTCATTGCTTGCATACAATATAATACGGGCTGCGCGGTCTTGAAGCTTCTGTATTTTTTCACAAAGGCCAAAACCGCAGTTGCCTCAAACAACGCTGCAATAATCAAAATCTAGTTGGACTATGCTGTTACACGAATCAATTCAGAACATTTAAAGGAACAAGATAGCTCATTCTTTTAATTGCAGCTAAGGCAGAGGCAATCTTTTTACAAACACTCTGTATATGACAATTCCATTTTAAGTTTTTATCAATATGTACCCTTAACCCTTAAACCCCTAAGAGTGACTGGCTTCTCATTTCTCCCTACATGATCAACTTTGAATCAAATGCAAAGGTCAGAAGAATAAAGGAAACAATCAGTGATTTAAGAAGCCCTTGATTGTTATACAAATTCTCCTTGCAAGTCCCTTAGGAAATGTATTGAGAGCAGTATGAAGAATATGAATACTGATGTTAGGGTGTAGAGGGTTAATATGTATAGAGTTAATGACAGGACTGCCTAAGATTCAGAAAACACACGAGTTCTTGATAAGCTTAACAAGCCTATGAAGTTTTCAAGATAATTAGATTTTTTAATTCTTCAAGTTAAGAGGTGATAGGGGATCTTGTTACTGGAAAAGCCTAAGTTTCAGTCAAGTCTATGGGGGGGGGGGGGGGGTTGGTGTCAGGACATTATTCCAGATTGTCTCCCTAGATCCACCACTAAAATTTAGCTCACCCATTTATCTCCTTCATAATCCAAGGTGAACAAGGAGTGCCCTCGGATCCACAGGGCGAGGCTAAGGTGTCACCTGGAAGGCTGCTTACTTTCTTTACTATTTCCTGAAGAGCATTTATCAGGGATTCTTCTTTGTCACATTCTGAGGAAGTAGATCAAATTATCTTCTTTGAGAGGATTAAAATATGAATTAGAAATTTTTAATGAATTTTATAATTGATGAAAGTGCTGATTAAGTCACTTCCCAAAGCCTATTATCTGAGTCAGGAGTCTTTAACTTTCACTTAGAGTCATGTCTTAATGCTTTTTTGTCTTTTTAGAAGTTATTGTGCATAGGATCTTCTCCATCTTGAAAAAAACATCCTTTTGATTGAAATTTGTGAAAGTAAAACACACAAAAGTGGGTCAATATTGTCAAGAGTCTTGACCCTAACTGCAGTAGACAAGCATCTCATCCAGAAATAGCCAACAAAGTTGCCATTGTCACCTCCTGCGATACAAACTGTGGATATGCCCCAACAAGTTTTAGTGCATTTGACCCCTTAGACATAGCCATCTTTACAGTTGGAAAAGGAAAAATACCTTGTGTATCCATCATATTTCCTGTACTTGATGTCTTCTGCCTCCTTGCAGAACAACGCAATTTCCAAAGAACCATTTTCTCCTGAGATTCCCCCTCAGACATAGAGCGATACTGTTCTGGTCTTGGGAAGTCATCTCTCAAAAGTCTGTCCCTCTCTGTGAGGAAAGTAGCAGACCAATCAAGAAATAAGTCAAATAACTTTCCCTTATAATTTGCTAGGCATGAGAAATTGGGTAGCAGGTATGAGCCGATGTGAGATCAGAGTCTTTGAAGGGCAGGCATGAGAATCACACCCAAGGCATGAGAGTTTGTAGGTTTTAAGAGTTAGAATCTTAGAACTAGATTTTACACTTTTGCTTAGTGATACCCTTTCAACTTGGTACCTTAAGGTTTGCGTTTCTTGAAAATTTTAGGTTAAGTTCCTAATGTTGGTCATTTTCTGTGACAACCTTCTCCTTACAATTGTTACCATTTGCATACTATCCTTTTTAAGTTACTCTTTCATTTTTTTTTTTGATTGTTTTATTTTTCATCTAGCCAAACTAATGTGCTCTTGTATCCCTCCTGCTGGGTCATATTTAAATCAATGTCAACCTTCTCTTTACAACTGTAACTGTTCTTGTATTATTCCATTTTGGTTTCACCTTTCCAATTTGATGTTTTCATATATATATATAAATATATATATATATATATATATATGAGAAAACAAAAGGCATATAAATTTTTTTTAAAATTGCAACAGTTTGAAAATGGGTGTATATATACATATATATGTATTTATTTTCCCTTCTTACTGAACTTATCTTCTGATGGTTTTCATTTGATGGTCATTTTAAATTTTTCTTCACTTTCTCTTTTTTGTGTAACAATTTTGATTATTCCTATTTTGTGCATTCTTCCCATTTTATTTCTTTTTCCACACTAACATTTTGCAGTTCTTCTCCTCCAATCCTCCAGTAATTTTGTCTATTCCAAAAATATAACTTAAAAAAATTGGGTACAAAACAGCTCCTTTAATACAACTGCATGAGACCTTTTTATGTAACCAATTTTGAACATTCCTATGTCATTTATTCTTCCCATTTTATTTCTTTTTCCAACCTAACATTTTGCAGTTCCTGTCCTCCAATTTCCCATTTATTTTGTCTGTTCCATAAAAACAACCCAAAAATTGGGCACAAAGTAGCTCCTTTATGCAACTGCATGAGAGATTTTCTAAATTTCAAATGAATCTCCTGCATGGGATGAAAATTTTAAAAGATCACTTACTGCCATGAGGTACATCATCTGGATCATCACACGACATTCTTCCTTTAGTCTCAGATGCGTACTCTACTGTTATGGTGCTGTTGCCAAGGAGACGGCCATGGAGCATTGCAATTGCATCACGGCACTCATCAAGTGTACAATATCTAATGAAGCTGTGGAGAAACAAAGCATAGCTTACAGTTATAAAACTAGGATTAGAGTGATTACTTTTATAATAGGATCACAGTGATTAGCTTAGCTGTTTTGGCTAGCTTACCACAAATTTTGTCTTTGTTAAGCTAATTCTTCTATACCTGCAAAGTTGATGAAGCATTGCATGGCTGGCAATAAAGGAATTTGAGAGTATAAGGTTCACTAGTAACTTTTATAAATTTAATTTTTAAATGACTCTGGAATGAAATGATAATTCAGATAATCTTTTATAAGTCATTGTTGCATTATGGAGGCAGGAAAATTAATGAGGGATGATAAAAGATGGAGAATGTTGAAATTTTTGTCACCAGGCACCACTGACTATTTTTTCCATCTGAACAATGTTTTTAAAATGTTTTCTCTTGTTTTCTAATTTGGTTAAGTAACAGTTTTCGGCAAAAAATGGAGTAAACATAAAAAAATATAAATTAAAAAGGATTTTTAAAACGGCATCTTCACTGCCGAAAGATTCGTAGTTATCCACTTTCCTTTGCTGTCTGATTGCGTGACGTTGAGTTCCGCCCTCGTTTGCGCGTTACCACGTGAGACGCGTGGTAGCTCAGCATCGAATCACGCGGGTTTACTCGCGATTCACTTTCGTGGACGCCATTTTACTCGCAGTTGTCAAAACACAACGTCATAAACGCTTCCAACCGGTGTGAATACCCGCAACGTCCATCTACCACAACAGAATTAATTTACTGACCGGTTCTAACAAGTGACAGAGTCCAAAATATGGCCATGGAACCAAATGAATCACTAAATCAAGATCGTTTTTCCGCCATCTTGGAAAACCAACGCGCCATAATGGTGAACCAAGCAACTATTCTTCACAACCAGAACAAAATAATGCGAGGCATGGAGCAGTTGTTTGCATTCTTCCCAGCGCTTCAGAGCTCCCTTCCAATCCAAAACACCATTCCCAACACAGTAACGGTAGCCCCTCTACCAACCAATCTGGGCAGCAGTGACAACTCGCGAGTTGAGCAGCCACCAGTTTCATCCGCCACACAACTCCCAAGTGGAGCACCGCCACCTTCCGTTTCACCCTCCCCGCGCGTGGAAAACACAACCCCCATTAACACCCCGACACGGCCTCAAGCGCCGTTAAATTCAAGCACACCATCGATGGTTGCCAACCCTGTAAAACCGCTTCCTTCCAGTGGAGCTTCTTCGCCCGGCTCGGACAACGAACAAGACGTCGCACCTCCTGTGCGCCCTCCTTCGTTTCCGCAACAATACATCTCTACTGATGAGCTTACCCAGATCAAATGCAAAAGTTGCTCAATCGGCAACTTTGCAGTCCAGTTGCTGAGACATATTTTCGAAAATAATGAGTTAGAAAACAGGAATTGTACAGGCACGAGAGGGAAGGAGGCAGTTGATCCCGAACGCCTTCGTTTCGTAAAGGAAACCGTGTTTGATGTGTATGCAATCGCATCTGATGAAAAGGTGAATACTTGGAAGCACTGTGTTCGAGCAATCGACGAATTTCTAAGACGACCAAAGCGGATGGCCAAAGGCGCATTAAATAAGAGTTCTTTGTATTAGAATGAATTTGGTAACATTTCTCTTACAAATAATTTCTTTATTTACTAAAAATCGCAAATTTAACATCTGATACCGTTCAGCTAATTAGCGAGGAGTGGGGTAGGGTAGCTATACAGAAGGCTTGTAGAGAGACAATACAGAGAGTTACAATATTTTTAAGAGACAGTTATTGTCAACATTCAACATATCAGAGTTTATGTACAATTTGTCTTCTAAAATTGTCCTTACGGCATAAATTTTAGGCTTTGTTCACACTGGACTGGCCTTGATTGGATTTGAAACAATTATTAGAGTGGATGTGGATCTTTATGTTTTACCAAAGCATTTTTCTTTTCATGCAGCCAGTGTTTTGTGGGAATATTACTGTCTTTCACTTTCAGTAGTGTATCTAGCATTATTTTCTTGGTTTCCAGACAACACCATTTCAGCTTCAGATTGGAACAGTACTTTAGGACAAGTGCAACTATGAGTTTGAGATTTTCTTACAGGAAATAAGTGAGCCAGTATAAACCTGTGTTGCTCATCAATTTGTAAGATATCTATTTAATGAGTATCTCACCAACAACTTTAGGTTAATTCATGTAATCCAAGTTAACTTATCCTAGAATCTAAATATCTCTTATTTGTACTAGAATTATACCCCAGCAACACTCAGGCTGTACTTGGTATCTGCATAATACTGATTCAATTTCAGATAAAAATCAATTTCAGATTAAAATCAATTCAATTCATGTTTATGTTCAAAAGATTTTGACATAATACAAATGTTTACATTTATTTCAATTTTAAGATGGCAAGGTGTGTTAGACAGACCTATCTGTTACCATTTTGAAAATGTTCCATTTGGAGTATACCTTACACCACAACAGTGTGGTAAAGCAATTTGTATAATCCCACTTTGAATTACTTGTCATTATTCAATTAATTCAAGTATTGCATAGTATTAGGAAACATACTTTAGTTGTGTTGACTTTTTATTACCAGCAAAAGAAACTACAAAGGGTGCAACCATTGAGGTACAAATATCCAGAGCCAAGATTGTCATTGGAAAATGTGATACAGTACATGAATGAACTTATTAGGCAGCTGAATTGAATTATGCTTGAATAGCAAACATGGTTTGTCTCAAAGCAACATGTCCCGTCGGGGTTTTTTGAGGGCAAGCTCCCAAAGAAACATTTGAAATTCTAAACCCTGTGAGACATGATTTCCAGCATTGTGAGACATCATTTTTCTAGATAGGAAATGTTTTTCACACTTGAATTGAACAGTTATGATAGTTATAAATATCATTTTTGTAATCTGTATGACCCTCCGTGGGTAACCGGAGGTAAAAAAAAAGGTTGCCCTTGGCGAACATTGGTGTTTCCACCTTCCAAGAACTTTATTTTCTGTTAGCTTGTTTTTAATCAAAGAAATTCGGAGAAGTTTAGGGAAGTAAGTCTTTTCCTGGCTTTTCTGAAGTCCTTAATCCTGTGTGTTAAATGATTTTTTTTCTTAAATAAAAGCAGCGACAATTTATCATGTATTTATTGAGAGAATTTAATTTCGTGAAGTCAAAGAAACTGAAAAACTGAAACATACACCTGCAGCAAAATCAAGAACAACTTAATTTGTGTCTCCTTTCTTTCAATGGCATAGTGAATACAAAGGAATGTGAGAGGAAGTACTTCTATGTAAAGGAAAAGTGGAATTTGTTAGTAATGCTATTCAGACAGAGGCAATGATAGCCAGGTTTTGTTTTGGTTTTTATTTCTTTTTCAAAGGGGGTTGGAAGGGGGTGATCCAGGATGAATGAGCTTGGTATTCCCTGCACTGAGATTTGATCAATTTTGGGTGATGTTGTCAGTGCATGGTGATTTCTCAGAACTAATCAGTTGAAGAGAGATTAAGAATACTTCAATCAAACTGAAGACAAGAAGCGATTGTCTACCAAAGAAGCATACACACCCATAAGTGTAATTTCCTCCTCTTGATGGCTGTAAATGAACATCTTGTACATTTCCAACTTCACCAAACAGCTGTACTAGCTCTTTCTATGGAAGAAAGGAAATGTTAAAGTACCACCTGTAGGGTGTGGGGGTGGTAATTGGTCAAATCTGAGACTCCCAAGATGCAGGAACCTCATAGGATTGTGTGCCCAACCAGACAGGACATGATACACAGACTAATATTGTTCACAACCATAACTCAATGTTACCCTTGGCTACCCTTGCTACAGACCCAAATCTATAACAAAACATGCCAAACAAACAGACTTTAAAAAAAATGCTAGACTTCAAGATTAATTATAACTTAAGGCTGTAATGATATTGCAATCAGTCAAAACTTTCTGAGGCCTGTAATTTTCCAAGGTACTATTTGGCACTTATAACACCAACCCTCAGACTGTTAAATGTTGATGTTTAAAACAATAAATTTTAACCCTTTACCTTTGTAATGTCACAGGGTAGATATCCTGTGTAAATAGAATAAAGCTCTTTGCGCCATTTGCTAAGTTCACGAGGTGACATGTGCTTTGTAGTGGCAGTCCATGTAGAGTCTATGCCATCATCTAAATGAATGAATGTGAAAAAAAAAATGGAAATTGCAACAGCAGAAAGTAAATGTAATTTTCAAAACCTTTCAAGGCATAAGGATGGATCAAAAATGACCACAATAATGCCATGGTAGTTTCTGAGATTTTTTGGTATATTAAACTCTAATTAAAATCACTACCTGACCCTTCTTTGTACCCCTTCAGTGCAGATTACAGTTACACATTACATTTACATGTACCTTCAAATGGTTTGAAAAACAATGATATTTTTTCCTTTAGTTGATCACTTTAAACAAAAATTACAACAGATAATCTTGGCTGAACATTTTTCATAGTGTTTTAGAAATGAACATGTTTTATTCATTTCAAAAGCTCAAATTTTTGGATTGCAAGATGAAAATCTAATTCTTGGAAATTTGCTGAGTTTTCTAGCCTTTCCCTGGCTCAGAACAAAGCATGCAGTCACTACAGATTTAATCAGTCCATGTCAGTTAATCATGGGTGGCTAAAAGTTAGTGTGCTGGACTCCATGTTGAGAGTCCAAGTTCAAGGCCTGGCCAGGTCACCAAGTTGTGTTCTTGGGCTAAAAAAATTGATTTTCATGGTGCCTCTCTTTACCCAGGAGTATAAACTGGTACTGGTGACTTTTTAGAAGGGGGTAGAAGGGTTATTGCATGACACTGGATTGGGTGTTAAAAATTTTTGTGACCAGTGAAAATACAAAATTAAAACCTGTGAGCTGTGAATGTTTTGCTTTTCATGAGTCCTGAACCTTAAAGTTATTCATTTGATTTTTCATGATGCATTATGTCTCCTTTCTGATGCATGTGAAATGTGAGCAGGACCCTACCTTTACTCATCCTTGTCAGGGAAGCCTGATGAAATGCTAGGGAGGGGAGGGGGGTTGTAACAATGTGCTGGATTGGCATTCCATCTGGTGGGAGTAGTAATACACTAAGTTACTTCATGCTAGGGAAACCAGAAAAAGCGCTGCCTAAACAGGCCTCTAGGCTCAAGCACAAGCTTTTGTGCTCACTGATCATCAACATATTTATTAAAAAATTGATCATCCTCACCACTGTCAGACAACTGCCACTGATATCTGGGTCTTGGAGACCGGTTAAGTTGGTTTTCAAGTTCCGGGTGGGACAGTGATGAGCTTCTCTGTAATTGTGCATCTTGCTCATTTGCACATCTTGCAGTCTACAGATTTTGTGAATAGAATACAAATCAGAGGTGACATTTTTTTTACTTCAAATAAAACATGATCATGTCGCCTGATTGTCCAAGCGAGAGTAGTCCTGAGAAGGGTTCTTGTCTGCAGAATTGACTGACAACAACAAGAGAATAAAAGCTAAGTTTTTCAATTGTCTCACAATGTAGTCACGTGTGATGCCCACAACACCAGACACAAGCCACTCTGGAAGTAGAAGTAAAGTTTATGTTTAATTAGTTTGTCTAATTACTACATGCGCAGGTTCAAAGAGGCAATTCATATAAGACTTCACCCTAACAACATCAACATGGATAGTGGAATAGAAATTCCAGAAGTGTGGATGCCCACAATCAAAAAACACAACAACAGGAGAGTTGTGCGACAGTGGACCACCAAGGGAGCAAATCACTGTGTGAAACAGCAAGGATCGAAATGCACCAATCAGAGCTGTTGAAAAAAAAAATCAACTAATCACAGCAGAGCATCATGCTTTATAAGATCAAGCATGACCAGTCAACCTCATTGCCTGAAGAAGACGAGTGGTGTGCAGTTGAAACGTTACAATCTGCATCACACGTGACTACATTGTGAGACAAATGAAAAACTTAGCTTTTATTGTTATTCACCATGATGAATAACCACAGCTTTTTTTACGAAACAACTAGAGAATAACATAACAATAACTAATAAAAATCAAAGAGTTAACTCTGATTCCCCTGATCTGATTAGAAGTTCTCTCATCTAGCTGTTATACATTTTTGTTCAATAAAATTAAGAGAATTTGGTCTTTCATGAAGAAGTCACCTTAAGCTGATAAGTATAGTTATTCTCATCTCACAACTGCTAAATAATGCACTGAAATTCCATTTGAGAAGTTACATATAAATTTCTTAGCAGGTTCAATGGGGGTTAGCCAACTCACCCCATAGAGTGACCAGCATCTAATTTCTCTTTATAATATAAAAGCTGAATCAAACATCAAGGTCATGAGAATACAGGAAATGACCACCCACGCAGAAACTTCTTGATTGTTAATCATATTCTCCTTGTCTGTATCATAGGAAATGTATGAAGACCATTATAGAGAATATACATACTGACGCTATTAGGAGTATACCCTTGTAAAAGTTCCAAGGCAAAGCTTTCCTGAAGCTTAAGCTTTTGGTGTTTCTTATTGTTATGAACAATCATAAAAATAAACTTACAATTTCATTTTTGTCCTGCAGTGTCTTCGTCTTTGATTTCGTTACCAAATCTAAAATGTCTGGATTCCCTTTCAATAGCCCTAGTAAAGCTTCTTGCAGTTGCCGTTTGCTTTTATCAGTAGCGCCCTCAATTATGTCGTCAAGAGTTGGCATTTTAGCTGCAGTAACTTCGTAAAATGATTTTCAGTGTCGACGATGCATAATCTAAACTTGAGAAGAAAAGCGAATGATCAAGGCGATTCAAGCTACAACCATTGGGAAAATATTTAATAAAACAAATATCTCAACGAGATTCGATGTCGGGCTGCTTAAATGGACATTTCCTTAGTTGTATAGTTCTATCTACCACCCGTTTTGTTCTTTTTATAGTGATTAATTAGGGTTATTTTTAAATGTCAAAACAGTTTTTCAAGACAGCACTTCTCCTCTTTGTAATGGAATGCCTTGAAAGTGTAGTTGATGATCGCGTCACATGGCGAACGGTCTTGCAAACTTGTTAGACCTCATTGCGAACCGCTGGTTTAACAAGATTTAATTATCAATATCAACGTCCTACCAATAATTCAGCTACTTTAATGCACCTGTTGTTTGAGGAGCTTTGAAACTGGTGAATGAAAGTCCCTTTCACGTGTAGTATATTTAAATGACCTTAGTGCCGCTATTACACAAAGTGATCTCTACACCACACGTCACTCTAGGAAGTGACGTCACGTATTAGTCAAACGCGGCGGCAAATTTTCAGTATCTTCACATTTCAGGACTGAGCGGAAAAATTTTTACATCAGAGCTGCCTCAAAGGTTAGCTTTAAAAGTATTTCTAGATTTTTAAGAGATTAATGTTTTTGAAGGACTGTAACCAAATTGTAGAGGTTCTTGAGCTATTCAGCTATGTATTTCACGCGTTTCTCGATGAAAGTCAGCGCGCTCTGCCCGACTTGTGTGAATCGCTGGGTGAACTATATTTAATTTTGTCTTTTGAGAATTTATTCTAGACATATTTTCTCTACAATGTTTTTTTGGATTCATTTAAATGTTAAATGATTCATTACTGGCAAGTTTGGAGGCGAGAAAACCACTGATCGTTAATGGCAGTCTACTGGCGTGACAGCTTCTGGCGTGACTCTTAGGTCAGTAACGCAACTGAAAACAACCACAGCGGGCTGAAGCGAGGTTTTTTTCAAATATTTGTTTCAGCTGTGTAAGAATTAATCCAATTTTATCGACCCAGTTCCTTTACACGATTTCTTTTCTCTTTATTTTCTCTGGAAAAATGTAAAGTTTCCTTTTTCAGTTGGACGTTCTTACTGGGGTCGAGGACTGTTCTTAGGAAGAGAAGCGAAATAAGCCAAAATATGGGAATGAAGTAGAAATGAGGAAAGGTAGGAAAGAAGGAGAAAATGGAAACTTGTATCAGGGAACAAAGAGAACAAAAAGAAATGGCCGTGTAATCTGAGCCTGATTTCAGAGGAGGAAGAAAAAAATAACTTAACAACAACTCAGAGATAGGTAATAATAAAATAAATAATATTTTAGGAGGAGGCCCCTAATCACCAGAAAGTGGTTTTCACGAGGGTCCTCATAAAAATTGAATTTTTTTTTTTAATTTAAAAAAAGGTGAGATATTCAATGTTTTGTTTTTCCTCTCTTTTCTTAGTTCCATTTTTTTCATTAATGCAATCCTAACAGTGCAGTTTGTTTTCCTTAGGTTGTCGACAATATTCAGGGTCTTCCAGGGACATGAATAGTCAGATCGTTCAATGAAGATTTGTTAAGCGGAAAAACTTGCTTGTCTTCGTGATGCTTTTTGCGTTTTTTTTTTTTTCATTCTTAACGCTCAACTAATGTTTTCAGCAACGCACCAATCGGGCTTCATTTGCTACAGGCAATTTGTTTGGTTACCTTGGCAAGTAAGAAATTATTTGCAGCTGGAACCGTCAATTTAGAGACCTTTGTTCGGCGAACATTTGCAAGCTGCAATGTCTTTATAACATTGCTTAAAACGAAAATTGCATATAATTCTTCGTTGTTCGAACATCAAAACTTGTCTTCATTGGCCTTCTGCACTCATGTACACATCGCGTGATGTTGAATATAATTCTACGAAAAATAAACATTTGATGAACAACATTTTATTTGTGCAGACTTTGTGGCAAGGAGGCCTCATTTGGATAGCATAAACTTTACTTTTCTGTCTCTAAAAGTCGAGATTTTAGGGTGTTCTAAAGTTCATGTTTCAGAGGTGGTCCTTTTTTTTTTTTTTTTTTTTTTTCTCAAGCTAAAAGTTAATTTTCGTACGAGTTTTTAGAAATTAGATAATCGCATTCTTTATAAGACATTAGATTTCCGCGAAAATCTAAAGTCCAAAGAGTTCACTTCCCTGCGACATACAGAAATTGACAATTAACTGCAATAAAATTTCAATGTGTGCTATATCGTGGCGACAAAATAAAAGTGTACCTAGTCAATAAATTAATTAGTTGGTTGAAGTTTCATTTCCATGTAGGGTACTGTTTGTTTTCTTACTTGACAGTTGCAAAATTAAATATTTTTTTCTGCGAATAGTTCGTGAAAAAGGTTTCCAAATAGCACCAATACATTAAACCCAATTAAAAAACTTACTAAAATCTGCCTCAAAAGCTTGTTCATGCTGAGTTTTCCTTCCAGTGGAAGCCCTAAAGGATTCGTTTGTTGCTTTTGCATTAGAATATGCAATAAATTGGTCACCGTCGTCAATTGGTTGGCAAACAATAGAATTGTCCTTCAATGATTTCGTGGAACAGGTGCACCGGTCGAGAGTTGTCTGAATATTTTAAAAATACACAACACGCTTGTATTCCTGGGTTTTGCCCAAGCAATTGCTAGGGTAATACACCGAACTACAAGTTGGCCGTTTGACGGAATTTTGAAAGGTCCGTTCCGTGTTCGACAGGAAGAAAAATTATCGATTTGAAGAATCGAACCCAACGGAAATAACAGATTGAGCGGTGAAGGAAGAATAGAAACTAATTTCTCTGCTCGAAGCGGGTGTTTTGAGAAATTCTTTGAGTAATCTTCTACATTACAAGTCTTCAAGGATTCTAAACAAAGCTCAAGTGTGGTGACTGCGTGAATGATGGAGTTTTTGCAGAAGTTGAAGATATCAGGCGGGGTGAATTTGAGCAACCTACGCCCTTCTCGTACGGATAGCCAAGAGCGGACGACAAATTTTACTTCGCCTTCGAGTCCGAAGCATGATTCAAAAGAAGAAGTTTCGCCTTTGCCACCGAGGGGCTCGCCTGCCGCGAAAAAGATGAAAATTCTGCTTGTTATCGATTCTCCCGACACTGATTGGTAAGCGACAACTCAGTATTATGTATAGCTGTTTTAAGATTCCTTGAAATTAATCGCTGTATAATCTGTGTTTCGTTATGAACAGAATTAGAAATCGAAGATCAAAGATTAAAATTTTTAGTTGATCTCAATTTAAATCACCCCAAAACGGATTTCTATGCTGTTCAATGGTTCTCACTGTCTGAGTATTTCGAACAAGGAGACATTTTATTTAACACTGCAAATCCAAGGTTGTGTACGACTCAGCTTCATGATTGTGTACGGAATTTGATAAAGATAACCTAGAATTATTATCAGAAAAAATGTAGCATTCCGGGTGTGAAAAATTTTCCAAGAAACAACAGGATAATGTAATGCACGACTGGAACAATATAAAGAACCCACTAATTTATATCACGCAGAAAAAATGAAATGCACTGTAAGAATTTATTTACTCTGTGTTCTGTATTGGTTTTTTGCCTACACTAATAGTTTTGTTGTCGTTTTATAGGGCAAAGATATTTAAGGGTCGACAACTACATGGAGGAGTTTATGACGTTCGAGTTGAACAGGTTTGATAAAATCCATATTACCTTTTCAACATTGAAGTTATAAAGTACTCAAATGATACGCGTGCGACCACACGCGGAGAACCCAATTTTTCCAGACACAGCGAAACTGTCGTGTTTACGTTTTATATTTAATGTCGGCGCCCTCGATGCCTTTTCCATCTCAATATATTAGGTGTTCTTGAGGTTTAAATTCGCAGCGATTGTTTTTAATCCAACGGGTTGTTAATTGACAATATTTTCGTGTCAGGGTTTAGCAAATCGAACTGACATCGCCACTCGCATAGCGGTTGTGGTTTTCGTTTATTTTTGAACCAAAATAATCAACGAAGATGTCATTTGCAACACTGAGTCAGAGGAAGGAATAAGAAAACATTACGCTGGTTGTCTTGGAGCTTTTAATGTGATTACTTTTGACAATCGTACGTGAGGAGATGGTAGAAATTAGCATGTTGTTCCCGCTCTTTTTGCATTCTTATCTACGATGTTAAATATTCTCGCATCAAGATCTTTTTTGCTTAACCTTTACTTACATCTTTTTAAAAAAAAGTTATCTTGCCTTGAATTAGGGTGTGATTTGATTTGATCGGAAAACCATTGCGAGGTTAAAAGGAAATTTCTTCCCGTGAAAAATTAATAAGTCGCGCTTTTCGCACCTATTTGCATGTCTAAATTTTACTGATATATCGTCATCTCTGAAAAAATTGTGATTGATTCAGAGAAACTAATGGTCTGTGGTTTTCTAAATCTTTCATTTTGTTTCATTTCATTTATTTATTTATTTATTTATTTATTTATTACGCGAGTAGTCAAACAAGTGAAAATTCTCTGCGATAAAAGAGACCGAATACACAGAATATTTCGATTTGAAGAGAAAATGCAAACGGGAAGATGGCACTGAAAAAGAGGATTTTATTTAGAATAGGTATCAGCCAATCATGAGGAAGGATACATTTCCATATTTGGTTTCGAGCTGTGAACTCGCGCCTTCTCAATGAGCCCCGCGTCAGCAGGGGAACTGCATGAGTCACTTTTCCCGCCTAAATCTTTTACGGTCAAATTCCCCTACAATCTTTTTGCTCCTGTTTATCAATTTTGTTGCAAATAAAATTTCGACGATATTTGGCCTGAAAAAAAAGCTGGCTGAATAAACTCTTCGACGATTCAAAAATAAGCGGTGCTATTTTTTGTGATAAGACAAAGTTCTGTAGCGTTTAGAGGTTAACATTTTTAGCTAGAATTTGTAATTTTAGGTTTGTAATTTAAGATTGAAGAAACACCGAGATGAAAGAATAAAAATAAGCAAGGGTCTACTGAGAATAAAATTCTTTAATACTCTTTGTTTTTGTATTAACAGGCGCAATTCGCAGACCTGAATCTGGCTTCTTACTCTGACAGTGGCACAATGGTGGATATCCAAGTGTACCGCGAAGGCACTGTTGTCGTCAGGTAACCACTCGTATTTTAGAGTCAATTTCGATTGAGGCTTGTAAAACTGACCTCAGATAAAGTAATTACAATGGCAACCAAAGCTAAGTTCACGATAACCAATAAAAACACAAGGTAAAAACAATGAACGAAGCCTGGGAAAACCTGAGTGACTATCACGTAATCGCAGTTGGTTTTAGTTTAGCAGCTAATTGGCTCAGTCCTGCTCCGTCTGTTTCACTTCACACTTTTCACTCTTTTATTTTCATTTTCTTAAATATTTACAAGATATTACTTTGACCCGCAGATAGCAAATGATAATCGAGGCGGGTAAAGTTTTACTTCATCTGTTGAAAATAAGAGACCGGACCAGGTTTAGGAACTTAATTTTCACCAATTTGTTTCCAGGTCATTTCGCCCCGACTTCGTTCTCGTTCGACAAAGTGTGCGAGGTGTTGGACCCAAAGAAGACTATCGCAACATTCTCCTTGGATTACAGTTTGGCAACGTTCCCAGCGTGAACTCGCTCACATCGATTTACAACTTCGCGGAGAAACCATGGGTGGTAAGTTAACATTATAGATTTATTTTCAATGTTCAATTTAATGTAAAAAAAAAAGGGAGCAGGATTGTGCGCTTTGGGGTTGATTTTGAACGATCGCTTTACCCTCTTAGTTAGTAATACTTTTTTCTGATAAGTAGTTTAGGTAACATCGGGTTTTCCTGTAACAAACACGCGTAAAGATTTGTTTTTGTTTTCTTTTTAAATGCCTACAATCAAGCTAAACAAATGCTTGCAGCTATTCATTTAAAAGTCTTTCCTCATCATTAAGTCTTTTTTCTCTACTCTCGTCACCAGTTCGCTCAACTAATTCAGCTTCAGAAGAGACTGGGAAAGGATGAATTCCCATTAGTCGAGCAAGCGTACTATCCAAACTACAAGGAAATGGTGAGTGATACTTCTTAAATTTTTTCATGGTGGGATTAAGTAGTTTTTAGTATCAAATGTTACGGCTTTACAAGAAATTATCTCAGCGACATGGAGTGGTTTGGTAGTTGTGCATCAAAAGTTCTTCGTTATTTTAATAAGTTAAAACAATAGCATAAACTTTTAAACTGAGTACAGTTTTATTGCAGCGATTGAAATCCCCTCCTAGAAGGGGTTTGTCTTAATACTGTAAAGCAACAACTTCTTGTCGAGTCTGTTCCTATTTGGTTAATAACCGTAACAATAAGCCTGACTTAGAGACTATTTACAAAAGCTTAGTTCTAATTTAGATCCAATACATGATCTATTCGTCGCTCTCTGTGTGTTTACAACTTAAAGAACTAAATGATGACCACTTTTTTTTTTTTTGAAATGAAATTTTCAAGCACTCATGCATTTTTTTAAATCGGCCTTTTGAGGCGCGATCCATCTACATTTTTTGCGGCCTTTCACGCAGTAAGAATGCTTTGCTCTGCAATTCTTCATGCGATCATCACTTCCTTGTAAGTGGCATCCTTGAATCAAATCTTTGCAGAGCTCTGGTCTTTCTTTGAAGCAGTACTTGTCAATATTACACAGGCAGTATTTTCCATAAATCCTCTTGAGCCCGCGACGTTGTTGAGCAGTGGTGTCGTTCCATAACGAGTGCCACTGGCACGATTCTATCGTCAACTTTTTCTTTCCTTTGTATGGTCTTCGGTGTTGGTTCTCTACGTAGCCGAGCAGAATGTAGATTTTAGAAATCTGAAGGCGTACGCCACAAGCGGCTGAGTCGAGCTCTGTTGTAACTTGGACAACGTTTTTCCTGCGTTTTCCCGTATCACTTTGCATCTCGGCAACGCGTTCAATTTTCTTGCCCCCCTTGAAGGCTTTGAAGACCTTGAGGGTATAAATTCTGCTGCTGTTGTCCCAAGACTCGTTCAAAACCTTAGCACGAATGGCTGTAAAGTCAGAAATGTTTTACGTTAACAGGGTGGGCGTAACCTTCCTTAGACAATCATTAACAAAACATCTCGTGTTTGTGGGAGTCTATTTAGCGCACTTGAGCTAACCAAGCAAGCAAAGAAGAATCAAGAATTATAAAAAAACGTTGAATTTACCTAATTTTGTAACATCCCCCACACTGAAGGAAGGAAAGAATCATTAAACCACTACTGAGCCGAATTTCGTGATACAATGTTTGCCATATCCGATTAAAAGATCTGTGTCCTTGACTACCTTTTCCTCATGGGCATAAAACACCGAACACTCAATTAACATCTCACTCAACGCAGTGTCTATTTTGGTCAAGGATCATTTTTTAATGGCTGGCAATGAGCCGCAGAATGTGAGAGAGATAATTTTTCTGAATTCCGTCACGAATGAATCGTCAGCAGTTTACAAGTTACAGCTTCGATGCGTAAAGGTCGAAAATTAAGGAACCTTGAAGAGCAGCGAAAATGCGCACAACGAGAAAAAGTCCGCGAATTTTTGAGTGCGAGAGAGCGTATGGATCGGGATTGATTCTCTTGTCACTGTTGTTAATTATCCGGCGGCCGGGGTATACAAATCTAAAATCTTAACATAAGTGGCATTTCACGGCTCACCCAGGTGCTATTGGCTACATAAAGTATCTTTTCATTTTTTTGTTTTAAAACAACCCCAATCCTGTATTTCCTCTGTTTTTTTTTTTTTTTTTTTTTTTTTTAATTGTGAAGTAACGATGAGCCATTTTAGAGATTGAGTGATTATGTAGTTTCTCATAAGCTTCTTTTTAATTGTAGTGATCACAGGCTTATGCAATTATTTTTAAGGGGGCATCCCGACCACTAGGAATTTCTGCTCTCTCTTCAACAAAATTTCCGATTTCTGTGACTCGTTGCCATTTTGATAAGGCCTCTGGCACATCGCCTTAACCTCAGATATCACACCATACTTACCTCCGGCTCGTCATTGTTGTTATTGCTGTTGTTTGTGTTTATATTTTGAAAACCTCAATAGGGCCATAGAAATGAAATTTGCTCCTGTAAATTTTGTTGTGATCACAGATTTGTGTTTCCGAACCTTCCGGCCATTTTAAAATCGTGGTGATGACGGGAATTCTTACGAGCTTATTGGTAATTCAGCGGATCTTTGCATTGGGCTTACGCAAATACATTTAAGGGGGCAACCGACGATTTGAATTGCCGCTCTGTCGTGAATCATGTTTCGAGCTCTGTGGCTCATTGTCACTTAAATAAGGTCTTTGGCAAAACGCCTTAACCTCTTTTCTGTTATCACATCGTTCCTCTTAACCTTTCCGTTGCGACAGCGACAGAACTGGACGAATTATCTTACAAACGGTATTAGCGAGGTGAAGATCAAGATGCGACAATCCTGTTCTAGAATAACAAAACAGTATTAAGTTTTCTCCAATCTTGGAAAATAACCTGTTGTTGGTGTCGTCAATGTGTTTTTTTTTTTATGAATTCTGTGGACAAAATATTTGTATATTTGCCAAGTTACAAGATCTCATTTCCCTCCGTGCCTCCAGTTAGGAGAAAAAAGAACTTTCATAAAGAGATAAAAGATTCAATTGAAAGAAGGAATAAAACGGATAATCTTTTAAAACGTTGTACTGTTATCATTTCTAGACAAAGGTAATTTCACTAAGTCGAAGATTCAGTTGTTTTGTCCGAATATTTCAATCATCCAACAGTATAGGAGTAGGTTTTTTTTCCATTTCTACACCTCGCACCAATGAGAGCAAAGCTCGTATTGGGTTGATTGCGCTTGTATATTAAAAGTCTCTGCCGTCCACATTAGTAAAACAAACAACACAGGGCATGACTAATGAAATTCAATAAATTTAAAAATGTCCAAAAGTACATGTATATAAATCATACTGTCAAGATTTGATTGAACTGTTGGAAGCACTGGTATACCTTTTAAATGTGAGAAGATGAAAATGCGCATGAAAATAATTGTAAATGTAGATGATGGGTTTAAAATGATTACTGAACGTAATGTGGGTAGCTAATAAAAGGATATCACCTGTACTCACCAAAATCTGCGCTGCAAAATCTTGACTGCGGGTGAGCTTGAGTGCACCAGCATGCCTCATTTATGGTCACTACACAAAGGAAGATCGTAAAAAAGAAGAGAAGCACTGCCATTGGAAGCCCTGTTTTTACTTCAGAACACAGCACAGTTGTCACCGTCGTACCTCAACCTGTTTCTGATGTCCTGACCAAAAGATCTGTCTTGTATACTCTAGAAAGGAATCTTGGTAATCTACCAATGAAAAGTTTTCAATTTCCCCAATAAAATTTATTGGATTATTTTAATGAATCCGGCCAAAAGATTAATCTCATTAGTCTATCTTTTAAGTGAAGTCTAACATGAAATATTTGCCTCTAATTATGCCGAGTTCGCCGGCAGACGATGACGTATGTCAGGGACTGAAAGTGAAATAAACGAAAAAACAAACCAAACAAGGAAAGTTCTAAGTTGTTCTCATGAGCTCAGTGACTTAAATGGAACTGTGATTAACTACACAATGATTGCAGTCATTTCTTATGAGAGTTGGCAACTTTAAAATTGCTTAATTTACTACGATTTAGAATATATTACCAGGCAGTTTCTTTCTAGGAAGTGGTTGAGGATCCATATTTCGTTTTAGGTGTGTGTCATAATGTAGCTGTACCTTGCATTTTTGTGGACTGTAAAGACATATACAGAATTGAACATTTTCAGTTATTTCAGTTCTCCGTGTCGGTTACCACGCCTTTTTACCACTGAAAATTCACATTGCTAACGTCAAGTTGCTTCACTTGAAAATCAAATTCAAACTTTAACGATGTAAATGCATGTGGGAACGTGAACTACCTGTTAAAAGCTAAATAAGGAAAAAAGAGGTTATCAATAACTTCTATCAGTGACTTGCAACAGGTATCATTCTGCAACACGCCAGCAGTTTTAATTAAGTGGTTCAAAATGCCGACAAAATACCACACAAATAGTGCCCCGGTAATGATTGAAATGTATCTAACTTCCTCCTCTCTGCAGATAGAAGTGGTTCTGAAGGCCGCAAACTAATGAATCTTTCCGTTCAAGAGAAGTCAGTCCAGTTTTAATAATTTGCGTGATGGGTTTTCTCGTCACTTCAAATTTACACCGGCCTTCCAACAGATTGCATGTTTCCCCTTGTGATGACACCAACATTTACTGAATTAAAAATCGTATAAAAGTTCCTCCTTTTTAACAATTTTGGTGAAATTTATAAGAAAGAGAGAGTTTTAGCAACTTCATCTAGCAAAGAACAAAGAAACCCTTGAAGATTTGCTGTCGTGCCTATCATAGTTTCGATACAGGTGGTCATAGTTAAAAATATTGCATCGTTAATTGAGACTAAATGGGGACAAATTTCCTATGTTACACCAAAATATCGATTTAAAACTCCATTGAAAGGTCGAAAATTGCACCTTCCATGTAGTTTCGCATTCGGGTGCCATACCGCCTGAGACGAACTCTTTACCACAATAAGCCATACACAAGGTTCCTAACTAACATGCGTTGCATGATCCGTAATGTCAAAAGTGTTTTAAAGAAATTGAAATTGAAAATAGAAATAATAGATTTGGAGCCAAGCTTGAGCTAAGAATTAACCCTTTACACCCTGATATCAGTGTGCATATTCTCCATACTGTTCTCTATAAATTTCCAAAGGTTTTGACGAGAAGATTTTGTATAACAATCAAGAGCTTCTTGAGTTGGTGATCATTTCCTTTACTCTCGTTACCTCAATGTGTAATTCATGGTTAGTATTGCAAGGAGAAATTACATACTAGTCACCCTCAGGGTCAAAAGGTTAAGTAGGGGAGTGAACAAACAAAGTTGCTTTAAAATCCCACAATAAACGACTAACGTAATCGTTACAAGAAGACGCCGAGTGGGTAGCAAGCTAGTAATCTTGCCACCCTGCGTATGAATGCGTCGTTTGGCGGCGAATCTCTTTGCTTTTTTCTTTATTGTTGTTTTTGCAATCTAACAGTTCTAAACTGATTATTTGAGAATTTCATAAACTGGACCATGGCTTCTTTATTTCGGGCATATTTAAAAATATCGCGTTAGTATTTAAGGGACCATCACCGTGGTTTATTTTGTCTGGGTCAGAAGTGCGCGTTAATAAAAGATTCGATTTAGCTATTACGGTTCATATAGGGCATTCAACTCAGTGTTAATCGCTTCAGTTCTTTCTATTTTGTGCCCAGTTAAGGGGCTAAGCTCAGGTTATAGCTTTAGTCTTACTTAGAAGTACCGACTAATCTTATAAATAAGGAACGTGGATGGGTAGGAAATTACCAAAGTCAAACACATTTACGAATCGTCGTCTCAGTCAATTTTGCCTTAAAAATACTGTAACGCGTAACTTCACACATAACCTCAAATTATCACAAATGGTACAGACTATAACAAACAAATGATAATTCCTAATTTCCTGGCTCGCGCTTTGCTACATATTTCTGTTTCTTTTCCAGCTCCTATAAGCATAACGTTGTCGCTGGGAGCATTGTCTCATTAACTGAAGAGTCATTGTATTTGTTTTGCTTTATTGCGTCCAGTGATTGGTCCAGAAAACTGGCGCTAAGCTCTCAGCCATTTAGATGAAAAACTAAATCTAATCGCGACTTGTAACTCGCGTGTTCTCGCGCCTCAGGCAATGTGCTTCTTTCATGTTTGAGCTCTCGATGGCTCGGGAACGAGGTAATCAGAATTATGTGCCGGTCGTATTATGTGATCCTCCGTGTCAGAGTATATATAGAACAGTATTCAACATAGTTTCGAGAGTATTCCGGAAATGTATTGATTTCGCTTCGGGACGATCTTTTATTGGTCTTGAAAACTCGCGCCACCCTCTCGACCAATTAGATACAAAGATAAAACCAACTGCGACTTTGCCCCTTTTGTTTTCCCGCGCTTAAGGCAGTTTGCGTGTTTCTTCTGTGAATTCTCATTGGTTCCTTGTGATATTTCCTTTGTTCTGATTGGTCATTGTGATCACTGTGGTTTGGCTTAACGACCTTGAGTCAATTGACATTCACATAAAAGCTGCAAAAAAAAATTGTGAATGACAGTAAATTTTCAACAGTCGGAACAGAATTACTCTTTTAAAACAAGATATCGTAATCAACATGTGTCACAGCTTGTCTTGAACTAATTTTATTCTTACTTTTTCAAAATGTAACTTAGACTCAACGCTACAATATTTTGAAAGACTTAGGACTAATTCAATTATTTAAAATCAGAAAAACCTTTGAACATGAATTTGCGACGTATCATTCACGCGTCGAACTAACTTCTACATTGCACATATAAAATGGCAACTGTCATCAAGTATTGATGAAACATGTTAAAAATAAACTGAAATTGGTCTCATAGTTAACAAATACTACGTTCGTTAATTCTAGTTGGATGTCCTTCTGAGAAAATTCGCTTTTTTGTCATGAAAACTGGAAGGGAAACATGATTGTCATTTTATCTTTCCCTATTGTCGTCGAAATTGATTGTAAACAAGTATTCATTGTGTTTTTAAGTCCGTTTCTATGACTTTGAAAAGATATTTTCTCTCATTTTTATGGGTGATTAGCGCTCAAATTTCTCTTTAAAATTATATATATATTGTTAGAAAACACCAAAAAAATTATCAACACCTAGTTTTAGGAACAACCAAAAGAGAAAAATACTGTTCTATATTAGAAATACAGCCTGCGGATCAAATGATCTAATTACAGAGGTAGTAATCTTCGCGGAAGACTCGAAATCATCAACCCTTTAACTCCCAGAAGTGATAAACAAGATATTTCTCCTGATAATATCCACACACTATCCAGCAAACAAGTGATGAGAACACTAAGACTTATTAGGTTGAAGTTGTGAAGATGATCTAGCACAAAATCTCATAACTAATTTCCAAGCAGCTGGAAGGGAGAAGTAACAATCAGATCTTGAGAGATAAAGGTTAGGGCAAATTTTTATGTTCTATGTTTCGTTACACATGCTCTCTGTTCAAAAATGAGTTATTAGTCTCGAGGTCGTTATCGTTTTTCGCACAGAAATTTTGAGTAGTCTAACTAGGGCTGGTGGTTAGCCATGCACTCCTTGTACTTTGGTGTTTCGTACCAAGAGCACGCGGTCCCTTTGGAGTTTTTCACACAATAGGAGTGGTCCCACTCACAAGGGTTCTTGCGAGGAGATAGATGGGTTGAAGCACATCCTTTGAGCTTTCCGCAGTCTCTGCCGTGACACAGTGCAAGCTGACAATCACAGTTTTGCCCATAGAAGCGCCTGATACCAACACGTACAGCCTGGCGCTTGAGGACTTGGGACCAATCTTGTACAAAATTGCATAAGCTCACCCAAAGTTTACCCTTGCGAAACCTTCCGAAGATGACGTACCTTGTGTCGTTCTTAATCCAGTCAAGGCCACAGCTGGCACCATCTTTGGAAGTATAGACCTTGGCAAAAAGACTTCCCTGGTTGGACCCATAAAACCGAACTCCCTCGGTTTTGTTTAGTGCTGTCGCTCCCTTGTAAGTCTTCAGGATTCGCATACCGATTACTCTGTCGTACCCCTCCACTTCTTGAGACAAAACCTTCGCACGTATCACTGAAAAAGAAACAAGAATTAGGTTCATCGTATCTTCCTCTTACCGAATGAACACAATTACTTCCAGCTGAAATAGGAATAATGATTATAAGCAACGATATTAGAAGTATTTCATGTAAAACAGTTTCAGTAAACTATCTTTAAGCACAATTCTAAACACGAAAAACAAATTCATCTAAAGATATGTTTAGTAAGAAAAGTCTTCAGCTGTAATGATTAGCGACTAACATTCCGCTGTATCATAAGGGGGCTGGGTGAAACTGGGTCAGTATATGAGAATGCAACATGTTCAGGAGTCTTTCGATCTGCCTTGGCAAACTAGTAATAAGAATTCGGAAACTTGGGGGAAAAAAATCAAACCACGAAATTCTTTCAACGAAAATGTGCACCAGCCAAAAAGGAGAATCGCTTATGAGATCTTAGTCTTAGTAATACAAATGTTACTATGCGTATCAGTGTATTGTTAGGAGCTTGAATAGGTGAACATGACCAGGAACCAGGATTGATAATGTAGTTCAGAAGAACGTGCCTTTCGGCAAATGGAAATGATTCATTTAGCTCTTGTTCTATTTACTGGATATTTAAAAGTTGAACTATGTGGATCAGTATTTCTCGTAATTTGACCTTAACATGAGAAATTTAGGTCTCGCAAAAAATTTCACCTCAACCTTCGTAATGACCAACACAAAGAGTGATAGCAGAGTACAAACTCTAAAACTATTTCCGTTCTCAGTGGAGGCTATCGAAGCTGAACTTGAAGTATCTTTACGGAAGTTGCAAGCACTAGAGGAAGCCTCACAAAACGCTAGATTAGAAACGTTATCTTGTCCCAAGAACAAACCAATAGTTCAAATTATGCGGGTAATATCAGCGTTTAAAGCGAAAAATGGTGACTGCGTTAAACAGAGCCAAACGAGGAATCGAAGCTATTTCTAAGGCGGGAACATTGCACGCACGTTTTTACAGCCATATCTGACCACATTATCAGTGCTTTTGTAAAAACATTAAAGTTCCCTTTGCGCAGCACGCGAGCTACGTGCCCGGTGAAGATAATGGCTGATAAAGTGAAGATCAAAACTCCCCGCAAAGCCAGCTAAAACAACTCCAATATCCGGTTCATATTTCAATAGCAAATCTAGTTATTGTTTTTTTTTCCTTGTTTGGTTTTTCTCCTTTCCTGCGGAGTAATTCAAGTTCTTCACAAGATTCTTTCTCTCGGTCTCTGAACCGATCAAGTACAATGATGCATATACGGACTGCTGAGCGTGCGCTCCGATCTGAGCTTCAATTTACTCAAGGATGCTACACTTTTAAAAACACGAGTACGTATCCGTGATATCAACGGGAGGATTATGTGCTTTGTTCATAAGTGGATAAATATTTGGAACAATCTACAAAGCGACCGCATATCATAACAAAAAAAGCAAACAGAAGGGACATTAGTGGTTGTTTGTGCAAATAAATGGGCTGTTTGTTTTATCTTGAGATGAAAGCACACATCTTCGACAGGAAGTGTCGATGATACATAGAAGAAATGTTGAAACGCCAATTTCCTCTTTTAAGTATCGAATGCTTCGCGCGTTTGAAGTGATGAAGGCTGCTGATGGGTTAGCTTTTTGGGTGGCTTTGAATGCATCGCCTAACTGAAACTACTGAGTTCGACTGCAGGTTACACAATTTTCAGAACTGCTGTAATTCAGTAGGTGCACAGTCTATCACAAACAGGCCTAGATAACGCTTGTACTCTGGTGTTAAAATTAGGCTTAAATCATGAAACTGTGGAGCTTGTTGATTCTTCACTTAGATTCTATGAGCATTCTGAAAATTCATAACGTTTTTTCCTAGTATTTATATCGGTTAAGAATGTAAAATAAATACAACTATTTCATGCCAACTCAAGTCAAAAAGTTGACCCGCTAAATGAACTCGGCGGACGATTAGATTCTGCATAAAACTCTGCCCAAATAAAATATGCTCTTCAAGGACACCCTTAAAACAGTTCTTTTACTACCAGGAAGTCAATGTTTTGTTTGAGAAGTGCACCATGTGTGTGCGAGCAAACAAAAGCGAGGGCGCCGTGAGTTACATTTTACCATGGAATTTCAAACACCTTTGTCTTACAGTCTAGTGAATGATTCGCAACTTACCAAATCCCGCATTACAGAAGGCTTCCTGGGGATGTTGCGGCATACAACTGCAGGCCTGGCTTAAAGCCACGAAACCCAGGAACAAAGCAGCGTGAACGATAAAGGACATTCTCTCCTTGTGTCGTTGTTGTACACTTCAACTCTCTACTTTGCCTCGCTTGTTGAGGATTAAAAAGAGTGATTGCTGTATCTGATAGCTGGCTCAGTTGCAGCTTATATACTGACATCATCAGCGCGTGTCAAATGTGATATCCCGCAGAGCCGGGTGCAGCTGACGAAAGCTCCGTGCCATGCGTCGCTGAAACGCGTAAGCAGCAGAAATATGTGTTACGAAACCGTATTTCCTCTGAAAGTGTGAAATAAGCGTCCTATTTCTCACTTCCTTTATAAAACATGAAGTTAATTGACACATTCCTGTCATGTCATCTGCCGTGCATGTTTTGTGCTGAAACGTCAGGGGCCATTTTTTTTTTTTACTTGACTCGGAGGATTTTTTTAGACTAGAGGAGTATGGAATTAGAAGTAGAACAAATTCAGTAGGAACAGTGGAAGATTGGAATAGTAAAAAATTGGAATAGTGGAAGATTGGAATAGTAAAATATTGGAATAGTGGAATATTGGAATAGTAGAACACTGGAATAGTGGAACAGTGAAACAAAGGAACAGAGGAACATGAGAATAGGGCAAGAGAAGAACAGAGGAACATGATAAGATATAAAAAGAACTCGGACGAAATGAACAGAGGATTAAAAGTATACAAGGACAATAGAAAACGAGGAACGGTTAAAGCGAGAGGAAAAATAGGAACAAATATACAAAGGAACAGAGGAATACACGGACAAAAGAACGAATGGAAAGAGAAACGTAGAAACATAAAGACAGAAGGAGGACCAGAGGATAAACCCTCACATCTTTGATTTGAATAGTAAAAGATTGGAACAGTGGAAGATTGGAATAGTAAAAGATTGGAATAGTGGAAGATTGGAATAGTAAAAGGTTGGAACAGTGGAAGATTGGAACAGTGGAAGATTGGAATAGTAAAAGATTGGAATAGTGGAAGATTGGAATAGTGGAAGATTGGAATAGTGGAAGATTGGAACAGTGGAAGATTGGAATGGTAAAAGATTGGAACAGTGGAAGATTGGAATAGTAAAATATTGGAATAGTGGAAGATTGGAATAATAAAAGACTGGAACAGTGGGAGATTGGAATAGTAAAAGATTGGAACAGTGGAAGATTGGAATAGTAAAATATTGGAATAGTGGAAGATTGGAATAGTAGAGCATTGGAATAGTGGAACAGTGAAACAAAGGAACAGAGGAACACGAGAATAGGGCAAGAGAAGAACAGAGGAACATGATAAGGTATAGAAAGAACTCGGACGAAATGAACAGAGGATTAAAAGTATACAAGGACAATAGAAAACGAGGAACGGTTAAAGTGAGAGGAAAAATAGGAACAAATATACAAAGGAACAGAGGAATACACGGACAAATGAACGGATGGAAAGAGAAACGTAGGCACATAAAGACAGAAGGAGGACCAGAGGATAAACCCTCACCTCTTCATAGTATCAGTAACAGACGAGGTGGCTTAATGCTCATTGCACTGGACTCCGGGTCGAGGGGCCCTGGGTCGAGAGGTTCCGGGTCGAGAGGTCCCGGGTCGAGAGGTCCCGGATCGAGAGGTCCCGGGTCGAGAGGTCCTGGTTCGAGACCTGGCAGGTCAACGTGTTGTGTTCTTGGGCAAAACACTCTCATCTTACAGTACCTCTCTACCTTGAATTCTCAGGGAAGCCTGATGAAATGCCGAGGGGAGGTGGGGGATGGGGGATGGGTAACCTTGTGATGGACTAGCATCTTATCCAGGGGGGAGTAGCACTACTCCTTGTTACTTCATGGATGGGTGGGCGAAAAGGACCTTACCTCTCTTCATAGTAGCAGTTCCTGACTTGGCCGTGGTTTTCACGTTGGCAGTTATTGGTTTAGAAAACACTTCTGGGACGACTTTTTCAATCAAATTTCCTTTTAAAAACGTTTGGTTTAATCTTGGCAAAAATTTGCCATTCATGATACAAAGATCGAGAAAAACGTTATTAGGTTAATGAATATATCTATCAGCCATACTCGGCATTTTGTCTGTGTTTTTTTTTCTAAGAGTCTAAAACTAACGAAGTGAATTGGCTAATGTTAAAGTGTTTTACTCTTGTCTCTCTCTCCCTCTCTTTCGTTGTAGTTTTTTTTTGCATGTTCTTTGTTCAGTTCCTCTGGTTTCACTTTGATGATGCAGGTCTTGTAGTGACTGGTTTTACGTCAAGAGCATGCGGTTTTCTCAGCATTTTGAATGCAGTAGGAATGACCCCATTCGCAACTGTTGTGATCAATTCCAGAAGGCTTACCAAACCCCTTTAGCTTCGGCTTCTTGTCACAAAACACAGTGTAACACGGCGAGATCTGACAGGCGCAGTTTCCTCGGTACAACCGCCGCACCCCCAAGACGCTAGCGCACAGTGATTTGAGGCCATTCCTGGTTCCAGTGGCACTGATTGAGCTCTAGCTTTCTTTTCCTGACTTAGCCTGAGATGAGGTACACTTTGTTGCTATTCAGTTTGACCCCGCACAGGTTATCAAAAGTAAAGGTGTAAGCTTTGGCAGAAAGGCTTCGCTTTCTGGAGCCGTAAACATTGACGCTTTCCATCTCATGGAGTCGGTGTTCTCCTTTATACGTTTTCAGGATGCGGAGGTCGAAGATACGAGTAAAATTGTCGAGGTATTCCTCCTGAAACAAAACCTTTGCTCAGATAACTAGACATGGGAAGGAAAAATACAGATAGTAACAATGTTTTCTAGTACACCGTAACTAGGAAACTATTTTTTTTTTATTGTAGCGCCATCTTTCAGTATATCAACCACACACATCCCACAATTCCTCCACTCGCTTGGATGAAGGGCTTACGCTCGAAATGTCATCCTTAGAATCCCAATTCAACTTATAAAATCAAATGATCTTGTAATAAGCCACGCAGACACAGCACCACAGTTTCTTTTTCTCTCTAGAAACAGTCAGTCTCCTTCGAGCTTTCGCCTTCGCGGCCACCCTTTGGATTGTCACGCAAGGTTTCCTACATAAGAAGCGTTTCTTCCCAAGAAAGCGTTGAGCAACATCGTCAGGGATGACTGAGATTTATTGAGTTCCAGGTTTAAAATAAGACGTATTCAAGCACCTGTTGAGCACTTGTACATTAACTGGAACAAAAGAAACTGTTTACTTATGAAAAGGGTTCAAATCCCACAGACACCGACTTGGCCACCGTGATGAGCGGAAGGGCGGGTGGGCATTAGTCAAACGGCGCGCGCGGTTGTCCAATAAACGCTGACCCCACCATTTTATTTTCGCACACTCGCTTTTCCGACTAAGAGTCTTACGCAGTGTACTTCAAACGAAAGAAAGTAACCACAGCTGCCAATCAGAACAAGGTAAAATGTTACGAATAGCCAATCAGAACTCACAGTCAAAACAAGAAAACTGCAGCAGCCCAAAGCGCGGGAAAACGTGAATGACCAATTGTAGTGTCGCGTTTGATGTTTGATGGGGAGACACCGAGTTTCCTTTTCGAATAACGCCGGGAGCATAGACATTTATTTTTTCCGATTTATTCCGGAATACTTTCGACATTCCATTTTTAAAAACTTTGCTCCAATGCTTAAATCAACTTTTGTTGTCTGGGTGAAATTTCTGTTGATTGATACCTTCAGGAATTTTTAAGAGTACATTAATACGGAGGAAATTAAGAGAACTGCTAAGGATAACATGTGACCTAACCTCATTAATTAAACAAATGCTCTTTCCGGCCAAAAATTGAATTGGATACCCATCGTGATAATAAGCGATAAATTAACTTTGTTTGGAAAAGCCCTGCAAATATTTTTTTAAGTAAGTGTGAACAGGAAAGGATTCGATTTGGTTTCCAAACCTGAAGCTTAAAGAAGGTGGCTGTTGTGGCCAATGACCTCATTTATTAAAAATTCGCTCTGAGTCCTCGTTTGTACGAACGTTTTTAAGAATCTTTGAAAGTTTCTTGTTGTTTCAATGTGGTAAATTCATTTGATTTTTTGTGTTTTGGGGATGGATACCTTCCTGTTAAAATTCACCAGTTTGTACGTTGAAAGCGACTGCAGCTTGGGGTGAAATTGGGTATACCGTCGAAAATATGCAGAAGGCTTGTTTTGTCGCGAGCTTGGGGTTAACAGAAATATTAGTCCCCTTTTGAAGATTGAAATCCTAAAAAAAAGTTCCGATTTCGCTGTTGGATACAATATCATTGATTTAAAGGGCGTGCTTTAATAAGCTCAAGAGAGGTCTTGGAAAAAGTTCAAATAAGGCAGTCATTCTGCCAAGTAAGAGCTTCATCGATGACGAGTGCTTTCGACTTGTAAAGACTTATTGATTAAAATTTGCTCTAACACACTCCAGGTTATTATCTTCATAACGTAAAATGAAAAATAACTTTAGAGGTTTCATCATTTCTTTTAAAAACTGAAGTTATTGGATTCTTTCAAGTGTGCATGTAGCTGCAAGAAGTACAGATGGTCATATACACTAGTTACAAAATAAAACAGATATGGCGTGCGAAATAAGTCTTTGAAAATGTCGTTTTTACCCTTAAACACAGACATGACGTAAACCCTTGTCGTGTTTTTTTTTTGTTGTACTTCGAAACTAAAGCAGTTTCGTATGTTGAGGCACCTGGTTTTTAAGAATCAGTTGGGTAATTACAGGACTGCTCTTGGCTTTTTAAGTTTTGTGGTCGCGGTACATAAAAGAAGTTTGAAATCGTTTTACCAAGGATTTTTGTTTCGAACTAGCAGTCTTACCAGTTCTCTATGCAAAAAAAAAAACAAAACAAAACAAAACGTTTTTTAAAGTCGAGACAGGTTTACCAAAAGATTCTCAAGATTTCCAATAATAGTACTTTTTTTTTTCGTTACTTTGAATTTGATGAGTCAACCGTTCGAAGAAGTCGCCCCGAAAATAACTCATCTTTAAATAGAGATGGATAATGTATGGATATTATAAGGAGATAAGTTTACAATATTTTGAAAGACTTAGGACTAATTCAATTATTTAAAATCAGAAAAACCTTTGAGCATGAATTTGCGATGTATCATTCACGCGTCGAACCAACCTCTACATTGCACATATAAAATGGCAACTGTCATCAAGTACTGATGAAACATGTTAAAAATAAACCGAAATTGGTCTCATAGTTAACAAATACTACGTTCGTTAATTCTAGTTGGTTGTTCTTCTGAGAAAATTCGCTTTTTTGTCATGAAAACTGGAAGGGAAACATGATTGTCAATTTGTCTTTCCCTTTTGTCGTCGAAACTGCTTGTAAACAAGTATTCATTGTGTTTTTAAATCTTTGACTTTGAAAGCATATCTCCTCTCATTTTTATGGGTGATCAGTGCTCGAATTTCTCCCTAAAATTATATATATATGTCTATTGTTAGAAAATAAAAAAATCATCAACACCTAGTTTTTAGGAACAATTAAAAGAGAAAAATACTGTTTTATGTTAGAAATACAGCCTGCGGATCAAATGATCTAATTACAAAGGTAGTAATCTTCGCGGAAGACTCGAAATCATTAACCCTTTAACTCCCAGAAGTGATAAACAAGATGTTCTCCTGATAATAACCATACATTATCCAGCAAACAAATGATGAGAACACTAAGACTTATTAGGTTGAAGTTGTTAAGATGATCTAGCACCAAAATCTCATAACTAATTCACAAGCAGCTGGAAGAGAGAAGTAACAATCAGATCTTGGCAGATAAAAGTTAGGGCAAATTTTTATGTTCTATGTTTCGTTACACATGCTCTCTATTTAAAGATGAGTTATTAGTCTCGAGGTCGTTATCGTTTTTCGCACAAAAATTTTGAGTAGTCTAACTAGGGCCGGGGGTTAGCCATGCATTCCTTGTACTTTGGTGTTTCGTACCAGGAGCACGCGGTCCCTTTGGAGTTTTTCACACAATAGGAGTGGTCCCACTCACAAGGGTTCCTGTAAGGAGACAGATAGTTTGAAGCACATCCTTTGAGCTTTCCGCAGTCTCTGCCGTGACACGGTGCAAGCTGACAATCACAGTTTTGCCCATAGAAGCGCCTGATACCAACACGTATAGCATGGCGCTTGAGGACTTGGGACCAATCTTGTACAAAATTGCATAAGCTCACCCAAAGTTTACCGTTGGCAAACCACCCGAAGATGACGTACCTTTTGCCGTTCTGAATCCCGATAAGACCACACCTCGTGGCACTACTTTTGAAAGTGTAGACCTTGGCAAAAAGACTTCCCTGGTTGGACCCATAAAACCGAACTCCCTCGGTTTTGTTTAGTGCTGTCGCTCCCTTGTAAGTCTTCAGGATTCGCATACCGATTATTTTTTGTGCCCCTCTACTTCTTGGGACAAAATCTTCGCACGTATCACTGAAAACGAAACAAGAATTAGGTTCATCGTATTTTCTTTTTACCGAATGAACACAATTACTTCCAGTCAAAATAGAAATAATGAGTATTAGGATATTAGAAGTATTTTATATAAAACAGTTTCAGTAAACTATCTTTAAGCACAATTCTAAACACGAAAAACAAATTCATCCAAAGATATGTTTAATAAGTAAAGTCTTCAGCTGTAATGATTAGCGACTAACATTCCGCTGTATCATAAGGGGGCTGGGTGAAACTGGGTCAGTATATGAGAATGCAACATGTTCAGGAGTCTTTCGATCTGCCTTGGCAAACTAGTAATAAGAATTCGGAAACTTGGGAGAAAAAAATCAAACCACGAAATTCTTTCAACGAAAATGTGCACCAGCCAAAAAGGAGAATCGCTTATGAGATCTTGGTAGTGCAAATGTCACTATTGGTATCAGTGTATTGTTAGGAGCTTGAATAGGTGAACATGGCCAGGAACCAGGATTGATAATGTAGTTCAGAAGAACGTGCCTTGCGGCAAATGGAAATTTAGGTCTCGCAAAAAATTCCACCTCAACCTTCGCAATGACCAACACAAAGAGTCTAAACTCTAAAACTATTTCCGTTCTCAGTAGAGGCTATCGCAGCTAAACTTGAAGTACCTTTACAGAAGTTGCCAGCACTGGAGGAAGCCTCACAAAACGCTAGATTAGAAACGTTATTTTGTCCCAAGAACAAACCAATAGTTCAAATTATGCGGGTAATATCAGCGTTTAAATCGAAGCGAAAAATGGTGACTGCGTTAAACAGAGCCAAACGAGGAATCGGAGCTATTTCTAAGGTGGGAACATTGCACGCACGTTTTTACAGCCATATCTGACCACACTATCGGTGCTTTTGTAAAAACATTAAAGTTCCCACTGCGCAGCACGCAAGCCACGTACCCGGTGAAGATAATGATTGATAAAGTGGAGATCAAAGCAACCCGCAAAGCCAGCTAAAACAACTCCAATATTCGGCTCATATTTCAATAGGAACTCGAGTGATTTTTCCTTGTTTGGTTTTCTCCTTTCCTGCGGAGTAATTCAAGTTCTTCACAAGATTCTTTCTCTCGGTCTCCGAACCGATCAATTACAATGATGCTTGTACGGACTGCTGTGTGAGCGCTCTGATCTGAGCTTCAATTTACTCAAGGATGCTACTATTTCTAAAATACGAGTACGTATTCGTGATATTGTGATATCAACGGAAGGATTATGTACTTTGTTCATAAGTGGATAAATATTTGGAACAATCTACAAGGCCCAAAAAGCAAACAGAAAGTACGTTAGAGGTTGTTTGTGCAAACAAATGGGCTGTTTGTTTTATCTTGAGATGAAAGCACACATCTTCGACAGGAAGTGTCGATGATACATAGAAGAAATGTTGAAACGCCAATTAACAATTGGTTCATGTTTTAGCATGCGCTATCGAGTTATGGAGCACGTGGGAAGTTTGGAGAGCACGTAAGAAGCGTGAGACTTGCCCGAGGCAATAGCCGAGGGCAACTCTAGCTTCTTGAGCAACGGTTTTCAGTTTCATCCAGTTGTTTTTAGTTTTAATCGAGTCTTCCTATTCCGATGAAAATTTCTATGAGAAACTCTTATGTCCCACGTATAAACCTGATTATCTTGAAAAGTCAATGGTCGAGTTTTGCTAATTTATAGCGTTTTTTCGCAGTATATATACCGGTGAAGAATGCAAAAGAAATACAACTGTTTCATGCCAACTCGAAAGTCGAAAAGTTGACCCACTAGATGAACTCGGCGGATGATTAGATTCTGCATAAAACTCTGCCCAAATAAAATATACTCTTCAAGGACGCCCTTAAAGCAGTTCTTTTACTACTAGGAAGTCAATATTTTGTTTGAGAAGTGCACCATGTATGCGCGAGCAAGAAAAAGCGAGGGCGCCGTGAGTTACATTTTACCATGGAATTTCAAACACCTTTGTCTTACAGTCTAGTGAATGATTCGCAACTTACCAAATCCCGCATTACAGAAGGCTTCCTGGGGATGTTGCGGCCTACAAGTACAGGCCTGGCTTAAAGCCACGAGACCGAGGAACAAAGCAGCGTGAACGATAAAGGACATTCTCTCCTTGTGTCGTTTTTGTACACTTCAACTCTCTACTTTGCCTTGCTTGTTGAGGATTAAAAAGAGTGATTCGTGTATCTGATAGCTGGCTCAGTTTCTGCTTATATACTGACATCATCAGCGCATGTCAAAGGTGATATCCCGCAGAGCCAGGTGCAGCGGACGAAAGCTCCGTGCCATGCGTCACTGAAACGTGTAAGCAAGCAGAAATATGTGCTACGAAACCATATTTCCTCTGAAAGTGTGAACTCGGAGGATTCTCGATCACGCGGTTTTCGGGGGGAGGGGCGGCGGCGGCGGGAGGAGGTAAGTCGTCGCCAACAGAATACAAAGAGGGTGTTATAGAAATTGACTGAAAATCTTCCGAGGCCCCCCCCCCCTACACAGGTGATAAATAATGACCTGTCTACCGGTCCCTTAGTAAGACTTTTCTTTTGGCCTTCGGTAAGAACGGTAAGAAGTCTGGAGGAAGAGTTGGAAGAGAGTTTCACCGAAGTAAAGAAGAGAAGAAAATTGTTATGAAGGGACAGTGAGCATACAGTTTGACTGTTTGGATCAGAGCGACAGAAGAATATTAGGAACAGTGATAAAAATGGTAAGAAGTCTAGTGGGAAAGGGAAATAGTTGGAGCAGAGTTACACGGAAGTTAAAGAGAAGAGGAACATTTTTTAGACCAGAGGAGTATGGAAGTAGAAGTAGAACAAATTCAGTAGGAACAGTGGAAGATTGGAATAGTAAAATATTGGAATAGTGGAAGATTGGAACAGTGGAAGATTGGAATAGTAAAATATTGGAATAGTGGAAGATTGGAATAGTAAAATATTGGAATAGTGGAAGATTGGAATAGTAAAAGATTGGAATAGTGGAAGATTGGAATAGTGGAAGATTGGAATAGTGGAAGATTGGAATGGTGGAAGATTGGAATAGTGGAAGATTGGAATAGTAGAACATTGGAATAGTGGAAGATTGGAACAGTGGAAGATTGGAACAGTGGAAGATTGGAACAGTGGAAGATTGGAATAGTAAAATATTGGAATAGTGGAAGATTGGAATAGTAAAATATTGGAATAGTGGAAGATTGGAATAGTAAAAGATTGGAATAGTGGAAGATTGGAATAGTGGAAGATTGGAATGGTGGAAGATTGGAATGGTGGAAGATTGGAATGGTGGAAGATTGGAATAGTGGAAGATTGGAATAGTAGAACACTGGAATAGTGGAAGATTGGAATAGTAGAACACTGGAATAGTGGAATAGTAGAACACTGGAATAGTGGAACAGTGAAACAAAGGAACAGAGGAACATGAGAATAGGGCAAGAGAAGAACAGAGGAATATGATAAGGTATAAAAAGAGCTCGGACGAAATGAGCAGAGGATTAAAAGTATACAAGGACAATAGAAAACGAGGAACGGTTAAACTGAGAGGAAAAATAGGAACAAATATACAAAGGAACAGAGGAATACACGGACAAAAGAACGGATGGAAAGAGAAACGTAGAAACATAAAGACAGAAGGAGGACCAGAGGATAAACCCTAACCTCTTCATAGTATCAGTAAGAGACGAAGTGGCTTAATGTTCAGTGCACTGGACTCCGGGTCGAGAGGTACTGGGTCGAGAGGTTCCGGGCCGAAAGGTCCCGGGTCGAGAGGTCCCGGATCGGGAGGTCCTGGGTCGAGAGGTCCCGGGTCGAGAGGTCCCGGGTCAAGATGTCCCGGGTCGAGAGGTCCTGGTTCGAGACCTGGCAGGTCAACGTGTAGGCTCCAGTAAAGACCTTACCTAGACCTCTCTTCATAGTATCAGTTCCTGCCTTGGCCGTGGTTTTCACGGTAGCAGTTATTGGTTTGGAAAACACTTTTGGGAGGTTTTTTTCAATCAGATTTCCTTTAAAAATGCTTGGTTTAATCTTGGCAAAAATTTGCCATTCATAATGCAAAGATCGAGAAAAACGTCATGAGGTTAATGAAAATATCTATCAGACATACTCGGCATTTTGTGCGTTATTTTTTTTCTAAAAGTCTAAAACTAACGTTGTAGTTTTTTTGCAAATAGTATGTTCTTTGTTCAGTTCCTATGGTTTCACTTTGGTGATGCAGGTCTTGTAGTGACTGGTTTTACGCCAAGAGCATGCGGTTTTTTCAGCATTTTGAATGCAGTAGGAATGACCCCATTCGCAGCTGTTGTGATCGATTCCAGAAGGCTTACCACACCCCTTTAGTTTCGGCTTCTTGTCACAAAACACAGTGTAACACGGCGAGATCTGACAAGCGCAGTTCCCTCGGTAAAACCGCCGTACCCCAAGACGCTGGCGCACAGTGATTTGAGGCCATTCCTGGTTCCAGTGGCACTGATTGAGCTCTAGCTTTCTTTTCCTGACTTGGCCTGAGATGAGGTACACTTTGTTGTTATTCAGTTTGACCCCGCACAGGCTATCAAGAGTAAAGGTGTAAGCTTTGGCAAAAAGGCTTCGCTGTCTGGAGCCGTAAACATTGACGCTTTCCATCTCATGGAGTCGGTGTTCTCCTTTGTATGTTTTCAGGATGCGGAGGTCGAAGATACGAGTAAAATTGTCGAGGTATTCCTCTTGAAACAAAACCTTTGCTCGGATAACTAGACATGGGAAGGAAAAATACAGATAGTAACAATGTTTTCTAGTACACCGTAACTAGGACACTATTTTTTTTATTGTAGCGCCATCTTTCTGTATATCAACCACACACAGCCCACAATTCCTCCACTCGCTTGGATGAAGGGCTTACGCTCGTAATGTTATCCTTAGAATCCCAATACAAGTGATAAAATCAAATGATCTTGTAATAACCCCCGCAGACACAGCACCACAGTTTCTTTTTCTCTCTAGAAACAGTCAGTCTCCTTCGCGCTTTCGCCTTCGCAGCCACTCTTTGGATTGTCAGGCAAGGTTTACTACATAAGAAGCGTAGGGCGGGCGGGCATTAGACAAACGGCACGCGCGGTTGTCCCACAAACGCTGACCCCACCATTTTATTTTCGCACACTCGCTTTTTCGATCAAGAGTCTTACACAGTGTACTTCAAACGAAAGAAAGTAACTACAGCTGCCAATCAGAACAAGGTAAAAATGTTACGAAGAGCCGATTAGAACTCACAGTTAAAACAAGCAAACTGCAGCAGCCCAAAGCGCGGGAAAACGCGAGTGACCAAATCGCAGTGTTGTAGTGTCGCGTTTGATGTTTGATGGGGAGGCACCGAGTTTCCTTTTCGAATAACGGAGCATAGACATTTATTTTTTCCGATTTATTCCGGAATACTTTCGACATTCCAATATTAAAAACTTTGCTCCAATGCTCTTAAATCAACTTTTGTTGTCTGGGTGAAATTTCTGTTGATTTATACCTTCAGGAATTTTTAAGAGTACATTAATACGGAGGAAATTAAGAGAATTGCTAAGGAAAACATGTGACCTAACCTCACTAATTAAACAAATGCTCTTTCCGGCCAAAAATAATGTGATAGTAAGCGATAAATTAACTTTGTTTGGAAAAGCCCTGCAAATATTTTCTCAAGTAAGTGTGAACAGGAAAGGATTTGATTTGGTTTCCAAACCTGAAGCTTAAAGAAGGTGGCTGTTGTGGCCAATGACCTCATTTATTTAAAATTCGCCCTCATTCCCCGTTTGTACTAGAGTTTTTACGAATCTTTGACAGTTTTTTTGTTGTTTCAATGTGATTATTCATTTGATTTTTAGTGTTTTGGTAATACCTTCCTGTTAAAATTCACCAGTTTGCACGTTGAAAGCGAATGCAGCTTGAGGTGAAATTGGGTATTCCGTCGAAAATATGCAGAAGGCTTGTTTTGTGGCGAGCTTGGGGTTAACAAAAAATATTAGTCCCTTTTGAAGATTGAAATCCTAGAAAAAGTTCCGATTTCGCTGTCGGATACAATATCATTGATTTAAAGGGCGTGCTTTAATAAGCTCAAGAGAAGTCTTGGAAAAAGTTCAAATAAGGCAGTCATTCTGCCAAGTAAGAGCTTCATCGATGACGAGTGCTTTCGACTTGTAAAGACTTATTGATTAAAATTTGCTCTAACACACTCCAGGTTATTATCTTCATAACGTAAAATGAAAAATAACTTTAGAGGTTTTCATCATTTCTTTTAAAAACTGAAGTTATTGGATTCTTTCAAGTGTGCATGTAGCTGCAAGGAGTACAGATGGTCATATACACTAGTTACAAAATAAAACAGATATGGCGTGCGAAATAAGTCTTTGAAAATGTCGTTTTTACCCTTAAACCCAGACATGACGTAAATCATTGTCGGGTTTTTTTTTTTTGTTGTACTTCGAAACTAAAGCAGTTTCGTATGTTGAGGCACCTGGTTTTTAAGAATCAGTTGGGTAATTACAGGACTGCTCTTGGCTTTTTAAGTTTTGTGGTCGCGGTACATAAGAGAAGTTTGAAATCGTTTTACCAAGGATTTTTGTTTCGAACTAGTAGTCTTACCAGTTCTCTATGCAAAAACAAAACAAAACAAAACAAAACGTTTTTTAAAGTCGAAACAGGTTTACCAAAAGATTCTCAAGATTTCCAATAATAGTATATTTTTTTTTCGTTACTTTGAATTTGATGAGTCAATCGTTCGAAGAAGTCGCCCCGAAAATAGGTTGACTTTAGCTGTCTCGACTCCCGTCAGGAAGAAAGGCTTGGGAGTCGGCGCAAAAAAAGGGCTCCGCAGCACTGCAGTTTTAACAAAACTCGACTATTGACTTTTCAAGATAATCAAGTTTATACGTGGGACATAAGAGTTTCTCATAGAAATTTTCATCGGAATAGGAAAACTCGACGAAAACTAAAAACAACTGGACAAAACTGAAAACCGTTACCAAGATAAATTCAAAAAGAGGAGAAATAGTTAACCCAGGAGGAAGAAAAGCAAGTCAATAAAACCGAATGAAAACCAAGGTAGAGACCACGAAGAGTCCAGAAAACCATAGAACAATCAAGATGATCAAAACCTTAAATCCTATTAGTCTCAACTAGTTAGGAGGAACAATCATCACTCTTGTAAAATGTCCGAGTTCTCAAAACATTTCAAGAGTAAGGGCTTTACTTACCAAAATGCGCACTACAAAAAACCTCTTGTGGATGTCTCTCGGGGCAAGAACATGGTAACGCATCAACTGTGTTCACTGCACCAAGTAGCAAAACGATATAAAAGAGATGAGACATCATGACGTCTCTTTCTAATTTCTCAATCGAGGAACGCAAACTCCTGCTGACACTCCGAGGCCTCAATGACCAATTACTGCGTCTGAAAATTGTCTTGCCACTTATATAGCAAGTTGAACCAGCATGAAGCCATAATTTTTTTGGCTGAAATTGGAGCATGTTGTACTTGGCGCCACGCCGCAAAGCCGTGTGCCGCGTCGATGACTGGGAGAAAAAACGCCCATTAGTCCATTTATTTCAATTTTAATGTAAGAAAGAATAAAATGAGTGCGAATTTTTGTCAATACCATTAAAGGAGAAAATAGCCTTAGTACGACATGTGAATTCAATTGTGCTGATTTCAATGCTTCTTTGCTGACGACAGTCACCCAAATGTCAACAAACTCTTGACCAGATCTCGGTAAAGTAGCAATAAAAATAGCAATTCCAATACTATTTCAAAATAGATGGTTTTAAGACGATTTTCCGGCTTTTCAATCCTTGATATATATTCTTTTGAAAACTGATCCTTCAATAAAGGGATTTATAGCTTAAAATTAGAATATCTGCCATATTGCGTGAGAAATCCGATAACGAGGATCAATTCTTGTCGACACTACCAATGAACGGTCTCAAATTCTGATTTTTGATAACGGAACGAATTTATGATCGATTAAAATGAAAATTTTCATGCCTTTTGCTAGACCATCGACCGTGCATCATGATGTAGGAAGAACTCATTAAAATCTTATCTTCCAAATGTGAGACCGCAATATTGAACCATGAACTATTAAAAGTCTAGACGGATATAACTCTAAACAAACAGCGTAATTTACTCCAGACTGCAATGAAAACAAAACCGGGTGCATAACTGTTCGAAACTGTTTTGGGTTTCTAGAAAACTTGATCATAATGTTGATGGAAATGCTGGAAAATTCTCGGGGCGGCCTTTGAGTAATACGAGCGTAATCGTAGATGAACCAAGGTCAAATTTTTTTTAGGCATCTGGGGAGAATTCTGGAAGAGTTTACCAGCTTACCACACACAGTAGAGAAAAATCAACTCCTGTCCCCGTTTTTTTTTTAAATGAAATCCGCACTTTCTGCGTAGAATTTTGAGTTTATTCAGTTGTCAGGCATTTCGTGTGTTGAGCGAGAAAGCTACTGGTGTGTTTACTATTAATATCAGCATTTTCATTTATTATTTGCTCACAGCTAACATCAGCAAAGCTGCATATGATTAACATTCTTTGTAGGTGGAAAAAAAGTCATATTGATTCAAGACGGCCATATGTTAGATAACATTTATACTTTTTCAACGAGAAACCTTTGATGGTTCCTCAATTACCTACATTATTGTTCTTTTTTTAATCTTTAATTTGTCTGTTTGCTGTCAGTTTTCAAGGTAAAACTTTGTCTCTGCAGTTTCTATACTCAGCGGTTTCTTGCCATGAGCATGCGGTTGCCTCCCTGTTTTTCTTACAGTAAGAGTAACGCCATTCGCAGCCCTGGTAGAATTGTTGCATTGTGTGATAATCGTGGGAGACCTGGCATCCTTTCAAGGGCTGAACGCAGTCAGTTGCTCCAAAGCAAGCCGGTGTAATATGGCACTCGCAGTTTCGACCGTAAAATCTCTCAATTCCCTCACGCTGTTCGCTAGTAACTTCTTTCCACGGTTGAATCCAGCTACGCTGATTCAGCAGAATCTCCCCTTTCTTGATACTTCCAGCGAGGAAATACTCAGTGCTGCTTCGAAGCTCAACGTGAACACTGTAGGCTTTTACGAAAGAACCATTATCTGCAGTGATGTTGATGGTGATTTCCGGGAATTTCTCCTGTCCTTTGTAAATATGATAAATTTTAAGATCGTGTTCGAATATACTTTGTTTGTGGTTCTCTTCTCTTGACTGGTTCTTCGGCAAGACCTCGGCTCGAACCGCTGCAAAGCAAAGAATGTCTTTCAGTTCTCATTGACACTTCACATTGTTCTCATAGAAACTTTGTGCGTTTTCCTTCGTTTGTCTACTGCAGAACTCTCTGATCGCACCTAACGGAAACTTCCTCGGGGATTACCCGAGAGAACTTCCCAGGGTGCAAGTGGCCTGGGTGATAAGTATGTCTAACAAACATATCGCGTTTGGTGTAATTCTGAAACACCGACTCTGCAAGGTTCCACGAATCATTCAAAGGAAGCAGGTTCGTTTTATTGAGGAAATTTTAAATCCTAAGCAGATATCTTAACCCTCTACAACAAAAACAACAACATTTATTACTTATAGTGCGTCTTTTCTATATAAATTATCAAAAGTGCGTTACAACAATTATAATACAAATAATAATAACTTAATAAAACTATATATATATGAATGTGGGGGTAGAGTCTAACTAGGCATAAAGTGCTCAATGCTGTGGTAGCAGAGCTAAGTATACATAAGTTAAAGAATTAAAGATCGATGCGTCCTCTTTAATTCTTTAACTTATGTGTATATATATATATATATATATATATATATATATATATATATATATATATATATATATGTATGTATGCATGCATGTATATGCATGTTTTCTAAAAAAGGTACCAAAAATGCCTTGGAAAACGAATAAGTCTCAAGTAAACGTTTAAAAGAATCAACGCTTTTAGTCTGCCTTATTGGCAAGGGATGGCCGTTCCATAGGACCGGGGCCACCACTGTAAATGATTGGTCCCCCATAGTCTTTTCCGTTATGAATCGTGGAGATTCAAGCAATGTGCCATTATTATTGCGACGGAATTGATAATGTGAAACAGGCAAGATAGAAATTAAATTCTTACGATAGTTTGGAACTAAGCTTTGAAGTATTTTAGATGTGATAAGAAGAATCTTAAAATATATGCGCAACTTTACTGATAAACAGTGAAGTTTCCGAACATCCTTTACATCCTAACAATAGCATGCATATCCTCAATACTGTTCTCTATACATTTCCTAAGGTGCTGACAGGGAAAATTTGAGTAACAATCAAGAGCCTGTTTAGTTGGTGATCATTTCCTGTGTTCTTGTTTCCTTACTGTGTGATTCAGGGGTGATATTTAATCAAGTTTCTGATTTACAAGTAAAATGACAAATTTGAGGTAGGCTTAAAACAGAATACAAGACTCCTTAAAAATAGGCCACTTATTATTACATCTACAGAATTAATTAAGTAATAAAATTATCTAAAAAGTCGTTAGTGTAACATGTCAGTTGTAAAAGACATGCGACATGAAGGCTAATCAATAAAATTATTATAAGTGGACTAATGATTTAGTAAAGTACAGTGTAAAATTTAAAAAAATCTACGTTAAATTTATCATGATAAAAGGCCATCAAATTCTTACGAACGATCGACAAGGTATTTGACTCCCTTAAACTAAGGGGTAGTTTATTCCACAGGCGAGAGATTCGAACAAAAAAAAAGAATTCTTAAAGACGTCAGTCCTGCTGAAAGGGACATCAAGCGTTAAATGATCAACGTTTCTCAACGGTTTGATACAAGAGCAAAATATTGAAAGGAGAAACTAGATGTTAGTCACTCTTAGGAGTTAAAGGGTTAAAAGAAAAATGCTAACTGTACAGTTGTGATTAAGATATGCTGCTAAATGTATGCTTACTCCACATTTGCGCTCAACGTCTGGCTCATAGCTTTTGTTCTGGGTTTAGTTTTGACGTCATTTTGGGCGAACCTTCTATTGTACTGTGAAGTTCCTTCCCCCCCATGCACAAGTCACGAAAGATTACAGAAATTAACGTCGTAAAAAATTGTTTCCGGCCTCCAACGAGTACAAATATTTTTACTTCCATCAATTGTAAATAATAATTTCCAAATGCATATCTTAAATATTGTTTCTTAACAAAATACGCAACGTTTAAGGGCGATACTTCCGAGAAAATGTACGCTCCGCTTAACACTTTTTTCAAAAATCACGTATTCGTCGTGTATCCGCTTTAGATTACATGAGAGATCATGCACAATCATTGTGTGAACTAAATTGACCCTTCTGACGAACTCCCATTGCTCGGGCAAACTAGGATTCATCAAGAAAGAAATTTAAAAGAATTGTGCATCTTTTCAAAGTCATCATTTACAATCCTTGTAATCTTTGGCATCCTTAACAGATTTGGTCTTATCTGTTTTGTATTTTTATAGCCTAAAACAGTGTTATATCAAAGCTTCATTTTGTTTATAGGCAAATTTCCCTGTTGTAAAAATAAAGTTGGCCTTGAAAGATCGCAACGTTACTTCGTTTAGACGGAGAATCCTTTCTGCGTTGTTTCGCTATCAAATCATTTACAGATACTTGTTTATTTCAACAATTCTTTTTCTCTGTGTGTATATAAATGTAACTCGGGAACGTGCGGTTTGGAGTTCGTCTGTGGTAGATAGCCATACTATTACCATTTCGAGACTTTGAGCACGGTGCCCAACGGATTCACTTGAAAATTCTGAAAGGTGTTTGATGAGTTCCTCGGCCCAAACAAAAGGCCTCGTCATACGAGCCACGAACTATTTTTTTACATGTATTCGACAACTTTTTTTTCTATGAAACATCTTGACTTACCAAAATCAGCTGAGCAAAACTGTTCTTGTGGATGTCTCAGAAAGACTGCAGTGTCTTCTCTTTCAATGGGGCCTGCTGTGCAAAGTAAAGCGGCGCACGAGAATAAAATGACGCGATGAATAGTCGAGTGCATACTGATCTGGTGTGGAAAACTGGACCTTAGAATTGCTTCGAGGAGCTGAGAGGTACTGCTTTATATAGTCGTAGGAACATCGTGAAATCACGTCTGCATGTGACGTAATGCGATCAAATTACTTAAACTGTCAAACTGGATGATTAGTGCTGCTCATGTTCTAAAAAAATCGGTGAAGTTGCACGTTCGAATTCCGTAAAGATACTGGGTGACTGAAAAGACGTGTTTTTTTTTTCACGTATTTCCTGTCCCGGTAGGTGTTGACACACAGTTAGGCGGCCGCCATGCAAACATTTACACAGTGTCAGCTCTGCACGTACGTTGTTAAGCAACCTTGAGGACAACCTTGAGTGACCCAATTCTGCTTATTTTGGTGAAGGTGAACTACAATCTCAAAGTTTTTAAGAAACTTGAATTTATCTCTGAGATTGGCGCTTTTTGCAACCCTCGTTAATTGTCTTGACTATTGACCATGTTTGGTGATTGATGCTGCATGTCTATCATTTAAACTATGATTTCAAAGTTTTCTTGTATTTTTAATAGCACTCTTTACCTTTTATTTACTGGACAAGTCTTACCGTAAATCCTTGAATTAGCGCTAAGGGTGCTTATTTCGAATTTGAGTTCAGAAGGGGGGGGGGGAAGAAGGGAAGGGGTGAGGGGTAGGGAGGAAACGGTAATTTAAATTCTCGCAAATCGAAGCCCGATGCTATTTTTTTTCGTGATAAAACGAAACTCTTGAAACTCCCCAGAAACTCTTTATGGTGGCAATTTACATCATCTTGAATTATCTGGTTATACTTACTTAATTATACAGCGGCACAGTTGGGACTCTTGCTTATTTTCCAAAACCGGCGTGTTTGCAAACTGAAAGAAGTATTGTATACATTTGCATTTCCAATATTGCAATTACACGCTCAACTAGACTGGCGAACGTGATCATTTGTTTATAAAAAGAGAAAGGAGGATGAGTGGCGTTCATTCGAAGAGAGGACGCATATTTTTGGGCTACGGGAGGGGCGCTTATTCATGGATTTACGGTAGCTTTCCATGAGTCCCCCTCCATCCAGGAATACAACTAAGAACTAGTTCAGTGTCTGGAAAACTTCACGAGGGTGTTTCATGAGGAAGACAATAGCACCACATTCAGAAATAGCCGCAATACTTCTAGGCAATAGATTGACCCCTAATGCAATAACATCAGTATGTATATTCTCCATACTGTTCTCTATACATTTCTTAACGTGCTGACGAGGAGAATTTGTTTAAAAAAACAAGGGCTTATTTAGTTTGCATTATTTCCATTTTTCTCGTGATCTCAATGTGTGATTTAGGGGGAAATATTGTTTGGAAAAATACGATGCTTGTCACTCTTGAAGGTTAAAGGGTTAAGAACAATGGAACATTTTGATCTCGGTAGTGGAATGAAGAAAGATGTTATTTGTCTCGTAACGAGCGTATGACAAAGGAAAAATCCGAGTGCTCACGAGAAATCGGACCCCAGACCCTCGGATTCCACCCTCCATGCCACATGAGCATCATGAAACCCCAAAGGTTTGGGGTTCCATCTTTCCTGGGAACTCAATTTTTTTCTTTTTCCCACGCTCCTTGTAAGACAAATCACTTCCTTGAACGCTCCTAGTCGTTCCATGTTAAGCTCCGAAAGTGTGGGTCAGTACTTCTAAGCTTGTAAGATGAAATATTTCATCACAAGAAACTAAAAATGTTTTTATATCTCCCAATTCCTCAATTTTCGACTTTTTGTCCATCTGTATCGCTAGAGATGGCTCCAAATGACCGTCTCTAGTCGTATCTTCAAAGTTGGTGTCAAGTTTTGAGATTCCATTGGAAAGGTAACACGATTTTTGGGCCAACAGTGATCTTGAATTGCCCTCCGGCTTACTTAATTTGTTTACTTTATTTTATAAAAGGAAACTCTAAAAGACACAACAAATAGTTTGGTATTGGGTGTCATCAGAAGCATGTAAATGGTGTCATCCAACTGTGTTTAGTCTAGAATAGAGTGTCTGCCGCATAATTTAATTGTAAACTAGTCTTGTTAACCCAAACGATTGGTAGTAAATAAAAGTTTAAATTGAATTATGACTCGGTTTTGCTAAACAGCGGATAAATTTTGGGTAAACACTAAGCCCTCTGACTTTGGCACAGCTTTTCTCTTTGTCGAAAAGCTCAAGAAGCTGATTTGGTGTGAATCAGAGGTTTGGAAAAACGCTAAACTATCGGAATGAGTACGATTTCTTCCAAGGCTCAACAGATGGGGCACACCATCAGTGAACATTAGCATTGCTATTTCAAGAAATTTTTAGGGCTTGAAGCTTTTTGGGTTTAGGCACTGAAATACTTTAAGCTTATGTTTTTTTTATTATTAGTGTGGTGTTGTTGATAGGATTATGAAGAAATCCAAACTTCTTACGTACACGTTTTTGTCTGCTGGTCAGAATTCCCGACATGTGGGAGTCAAAGTTTGTCAACATCTGACTTTAAAAACACGACTATTCCCATCCTCTGTCTTTCAACTGAAGATTTTCTGAATTCCGCAGGCATTTGAAAATAACCTATAAACTTGCCTGTCCTCGTCTTCTCGCCAAATTCCTCTCTCGAGGAAATTTAAATTCACTTTCAAACGCTTCATTTCTAGATAAAAATCGATATCCCTACGCTCATATCGTTCCTCAATGTGTTTTATACTCGCCGAATTTATTTTATATATTCAGACTATGCAATACAGTTGGACTTTACTAAATCTTTTTTATTGACTAATTTACATGACAAAAAGCGTTTATTCGTCTTTTAAACGACGTACAGTAAGCGTTCGTAAATGAACTCATTCTTAACATGTATTCGGTAAACAAAGAATAAAATGCAATTTTCAATTGAGCGCCGAAGGCAGTGTGGGATTGCAATTGGTTTTGCTTTCTTCGCTTTGTGATTGGTCCAGAAAACTTAGCTTTGATTTCTCATTGGCTCCCATAAAAATTTCCTTTGATCTGATTGGTCATTGTAGCTACTTGTTTTTTCTTTTTCTTTGTGTTCACGACACTCAATTGAAATACGCAATTATCTGAATGCATGCCTCTAGTTGTGCTTGTACGCGCTAAACCCAATTTTCCTGGATCGCGTCGATGAAAAAGATGTTTTGTCAAACACTGGTCTAATTACCCAACGAGTAGGAGATGCGACGGATCGAGTTTTGGACAACGATGACCAACTGGAAGCAAAGTACTATTTTTTAGCAGTTTCTGAACTTTCTTTGTGCTGAAGAGATATGTTAACGTAAATTAACAGCGAAATCACCTTCTTCTTGGCATATACGTTTCATACGCGAATACAAAGCGTAAGTGAACCATTTAAAAATACACAATTTTATGTACAGACAAAGTGCTACTTGCAATGCTCGACTGCTGTTCTATCGCGACGCATGGCAGGGATGTGGAAGTCAACTGAACGCTTAACAGTAAATTATGTTAACTGAAACCATTGCTCTTATTGAAGACACTGAAGCAATATGATTAGTTTGAGTTTCCTTTTCCAGTTGACGAACATTTGTCCTCAGGTTGCAATGCATCATGGTATTTTCTTTAGGCATCTTTTATACTCATCCGATACCCGCCAGGCGCATGCGTCACCGCTCCAGTCCCTCATGCAGTAGGAGTGTTTACTTTTACAATGTTCTTTCATTGGTGCCTTCCATTCGACTTTTTCACAGCCACTGAGCATTTTATCGCAGTTGCTACCGAAACACATCCCCACTTGACACATGCAGTTCTCTCCATAAAAACGTCTGATTCCAGCTCTTTGTTTGCGCGTTATTAGCGACCACTCCGTCCTCCATTTGCAACCTCCAGTCCGCAGCCTATTGTGGAGTATCTGCCCCGTCAGAAGGTACACGGTGCGGTTGCGCAATGGCACGTGGCACGACGACGCGCGTGCCGGCGTGTACAGCTTTGCACGCAGAGTTCGACGCCGTGAGCCGTACACTTCCACACCCTCTGTTTTATTGATTTCTCGAGCTCCTTTGTATATCTTGAGTATCCTCAAAGTGTACACTTGTTCTTGGATGAATTCTGCTGGGATGTTCTCCTCAATGGCTGTCTCTGGTGGTTCTGTCTGAAGAGGTTGCTCTGTGGACTCGGAAAGGACTTTGGCTCGAATAACTGTCGAAACAAAACAAAAATAGCAACTCAGTGTATTTCAGCCACGGCACAGCCACAAAATGGCTCCTTATCTCCTGCCTCCAGGCCCAACTGTATTTTTCATGCAGGTTTTGGTTGGATACGGAAAAGCGGAAAACCTAGAGGAAAGCCCTCGGGGGCAAGGTCGAGAACCCATCACCTTGACCCGCAAGTGATGGAACGTTGAAGCTGAAGACCTTTGATTGCCCGCAATGTGTTGTGCACCCTTAAAAATTTTTGCGCAGTTGAATGTCCATATGGAAACGACAGCTAGTCATAAATGATCACATGCAGTGGTTGCTTGCTTCATGGTCGGTTCAAACTTTCATTGTTTTACATATTACATATCTAATCTATATCTTTATAACTGCCTTACTCTACATTATAACTTTCTCCACATGATAGTGCTACCCACTAACTTTGATTCAAATGGTCACACTCTGGGTTTCACCCACAAAATGAAAAGTGAGAACACTTTGTGCAACGTAATAAACAGTTTTACTTGAAAGAAGAGCTCAGTATTTACACTAGGTTCCAAACACAAACTAAAAAAGTTAAAATCCCTTTTAATCGCACGAAAAACAATGAGAGCACTGTTTAGTTGCTTTTACTTAAACTCCAGAGTTCTACAGTTTACAGACGCTATAAGCTAGTGCTACTTCAGTTGAATAGCACAACACAGTCACATCACCAAAAACAATGAGAACACAGTTTACAGACGCTGTAAGCTAGAGCTACTTCAGTTGAACAGCACAACACACAGTCACAGAACCAAAAACAATGAGAGTACTGTTTAGTTGCTTTCACCTAAACACCAGGGTTCCACAGTTTACAGACGCCATAAGCTAGAGCTACTGCAGTTGAACAGCACAACACACAGTCATATCGAATCACTGCTCAGAAGCTTCCAAGTGAATGTTGCAGAAGGTTAGAACTACCATGCAGAACATAACAAACAGCACCATTTGGAAATGCACCTCCTGAGCAGCTTTTGATATCAAATCCTAAACCACAGAGTTCAAACCGCTTTGTGCATGTTAACAGTCTAGAATGCTGAAGGATTTGAAGATGGTCATACACCTAAATGTAAACCCCCGAATGGACTCTTTTCGTGAACAACGCATGCTTAAGCACATCATCGTCACATGCGCATAACTCTTTCTGAAAGGTCAATCTATTGAATAAAACGTCGTGAGACAAACTAAAATGAACCTCTAAAAAAAGTCCGAGAATCTGCCGACTCTGAGCATTTTGTCAAAGATTGTTAGACATTACACTTAAGCCAGAATTTAAGACTTATCAATACTTTTCAAGCTGATATGCAGTTACCGTATTTGAGAAAACTTCACTGATGCAATTAAATGAGATTTGACATTGTGATGAAAAATAGAGCAGAACTTTCTCTTAGCAGCAGGTGACACAAACCAACGTGAATCACAATAGCTCGTCTTGAACTATACCAGATATAATGCTAACTTTAATATTGGGGATTAAGTCTCAGGAATAGTATTAAGTTTTAATCCTTCGCAACTAGTGCAGTGCCAACTCATAAGCGAGAGGTTATTAGCGAAGAAAACGGTTATTAATTCCTAGCTTGAAAATTGAGCCCTCTTGTCTTCCAAGTGGTATGAATTTCTTTCGTCGAAAACGATTTTAGTGTTTGTTTTGTTTAATTCCTTTGGTAAGGTTTAGTCTTTTAACTGTGACCGAAGATATTTGATAAACGTAGAAGAAAGGTGAATTGTCTTGAAACATGGATAGTCTACGGCCATTATGTAATGTTTAAAACACCTTACAGCCACCCTTGTGTCAGTTTTTAATTTGCATCAAGGAGTTTAGTGCTTTAGTAGCCATACTTTACAATGTAAATCCAATTTATTAGTAGATTGCACGATCCGATCTTGAATGGAGATTACGGAATTTGAAAACACAAGATACGCGAAACACGAACGGGCTAAGGTGAAACACTTTTTCAATTGAATTAATTGGCCACCCTCTGACATACTGTATGGAAAAGTACGCTGTATGTTGGATAATGAATCCAGAGAAAACTGTCTGCATTTGGGTTCAAAAAACTAAAAGAGCGATTTCAAAAAGAGTTCTACTTCTCTTTATCAATCATTTCCTTTCCTGTGTCGAAGTGTGAGAGCTTTTTTTTTTCACAGTTCCTATCATCAACGACGCGACATCTGACTTAATAGAAGGTTCAAATTAGATTACACAATACCCAGAGGAAAAGGGAAGGATTTGGCGCTTGATCAGTCTCACAGCACGGATCGTTACCGGCTTTTTCATCTTTTTTGTAAACACGCTTTTTTTTTTCCTGGCTCGCCTGTTTCAATATAAAACTCACTAGCCACGGGTTTTACAGGCTAACGTGACATGCGAATTTTTGCGTGACTAAAAAAAAAAACTTTGATGTTTAAATAGAAATATTTGTCATTATTCATCCTCTATAAAATTTTCTCCTTCGCAATCGTCATTCGTTTAGAGCTATCCTGAATAAAATTTTCCTCAATTCTTTAAAAACATTTCAAAGATTCGTGATTTGTTTTTTTTCAACAACCCAAAACCTGCGTGAGTTTCCTGTGTTGCGTTAAGTAGCTCTCGGTGAATCAGGGCAGAAGGTCCTTTTTCAAAAAAAAAAAACCTTGGCCGTGAATATTTCTGTTTGTTTTGTCTGCCGTCTGGGACTGTGTTCAAGCTGTTCTTAGTGAGAAGATTTCGTCGTTGCCAACGTTGCGGTTTCGTCGTAAAAACAAAAATGTTCAGATTAACGAGTTTAACCTTCGCCGCTCGTGTATCCATGACAAATATTTTGGGTTTGTCAAAACTTATCTTGGGATTTATCTCTATGTCATGCCCTGGGTGAATTTTTTCAGAGATACCTCCGAAGTGACAATTTTCCGTTCGTAAAACTCTTATTTATTATAGTCTGAGAGAGAGAGAGAGAGAAAAAGTCGAGTTGAGATTCAATATCAAATATGATAGCGAATCAACGAGACCGACGGAATCAACACCGGAAGAAAACGTAACCGACCACCTGAATTCTTTAATTTCCTCGTCAATGGTATTAGCGATAATAGAGGTATTAAAATCTCTTAAAGAAGGTCCACTCGTTTTTTAACCTGATTATTACCTCATAGCTAATACCTTATAAACCGCTCTGCTATGTTTTGCACAGAAAAGAAATGACAAACGTGTAATGTTATTTTGCACGCAATCAAATGTATTGTGAATCTTGAAAGTAATAAACACCCGTAAGTGACTTCACTGACATCTTTCCATTTCATTTCAACAAAGCCGTTCATTCATCTTTACTTTCATCTTGGATTTCGTCTTGAAAGGTAGCCGACTGCGGACAGAGCAACGTTTTCTTCCTATAAAATCACGATGCATGAATACGTAGTTTGAAACAAGTGAAGAAGTCAAACGGCCGAAATGTTGAATTTTATCAGCGTGCTTCTGCAAAAATTTGCTGACGTTTTCAAAAGATTTTTCATGCAGGCTTTTGCATACGACATGTAACCCTCCTAATGACACAAAATATTCATTACTCACCGAAAGCAGAGTTGCAATATTCATTTTGAGGATGACTCGGCAAACACGAGCAAGCACGACACACAGAAATAAATGCGTTGCTGAGGAAAAATAGTATAAGAAGGTACCCCATCGTTAAATTCTCCAGAGCGTGCTTCCAAACCCCGACCGGTGTCTGTAAATAAGCTTTTTTGTCAGCTAAAAGCTATATATTCCCAGCCGATAACGACTTATTTGAGCTGTTTCCTTAGCAAGCGGCAAACTTCGCTTTGAGTCGTACGGTAACCGGATATAGGGCGTCTATGAAGACAAAAAAATTCAGCCCTCTTCGAGAACTCATGATGTCACTGGGCATTAAAAATACTTTTCAGCGAACAGGACAAAGTCACGCCTTATCGACCACACGGGGCTGTCTCGCACTGAGATGGCTTTTTTCGTATTTTCTTTTTCCGGACAAAATTTCCAGCCAAATTTATGAGAAAATAGAGCCAAAAACATGACCAATATCAAGTAGTTTCTTATTAGCAATCTACAATATAACGCGATTTATTATTGTCGCTCAATCCTAACAGTTCTGTTTTTTCCTAAATATGTTATATTCTTTTCAATTATTATTGTAGCATCTGATGGCATAGGTAGTTATTTACATATAGCTGTGGAATTTTAAAGACAGATTCTCGTGACCCCTTGCTAAGGACTTGTTTAGATTAATTTTTCCTTAAGCATGGAAAGTATTTGTACTCACTCAGCTGATAGCATATTTCGCATTTTCCAAGGAGGTTTCCGAGTGGTTATTTGGTAGCCAGCGCGTTTACTAATTCTCAAATTTATCACGTTTTCACAAGACTTTCACTTTGGTGTGATGTTAGAAAACTGTAATGGGATTTTATCGCTCTCTCGCTTCGGGATTTGTTACTCCAATCGATCATCTTCTAACTTGGAAAACACGTGTCATTCGCTTACGGCCTAATTTCAATTTTTTTGGAACAGAATATGATTATTCCTTGATATTTTCTTTCAAACAACAGACCAAAAACGTGAAATGTGTTTAAAACCTGGAATTATTCAATCTGGCTCGTGCATCAACACATTATCAAGACCATTAGTTGTAGAATGATGACGAAAGTAATTGGAGGAAGGCGAAAAACATTACATCTTTGCGTGTGGTGTTCAGCTCTATTTCATTGGAGCAATTTGGGCGGTCGAACCATGAACTACTCTAGCGGTTTTTTTCCGAGAGCGATTCCACGGAATGTTTTCGTTTGAACTTTGTAATCTGTTTAAAGTGATAACCCCACTGAACGGAACTTTTTAAGAGTCTTTAGTGCCGCAAAGCGGAAAAAGGCTCTTTTTTCTTTTTTTTTTCCTTCTTCTTTTTTTTTAATCATACTAATTTGAATTAGTCACTGCTCCGAGCAATATTACCTTCCGTTCAGAGGAGACAACTAAATATTAGTTTCATGGGGTGGAAAATTATAGAAGCGACCAGAGTAAAACGAAGGGAAATTCATGGATGGCTTAGGACAGAAATCGGTGGAAACCTGATTGTAAATAAGGAAATAGAAAAATTTGGCAGCCTTATAAACCGATAATTAATCCTTTGGCGTAAACGATATCATTTCAGTGCAGCTTATATGTTGTATTATGCTATAAATCACGCTTAGATATTGAAAAAGATTTTGATGTGACATATTTGCTCTGAGAAGATTCTAGTTAATTTTTTGTTGTGTTTTAAACTAGGTCACATACTTGTCCACCTCTACCCGCTTTTGGTCAATTTTCCTCTTCGAAATTACTGCTTTACATCGTCCCCAAATAGATTTGTATAAGTTGATTCGCTTTTGTTTCATTCTAAATGTACCATTGATAATGGTTCCGTTTTTTACAGCCAAAAGATAGCTTCACAATAATTCAAAACAATTTCAATTTTTAGCTCAAGGAGTTGTAAGGAGTATCAGACCCCATGCCAAATATTTGATTTATTTATAATAACGATGATTATTTTAAGACTGTCGGGGTGATAAAGTGAAATGTTGTGTTTGAAAGAAGCGCGTAACTGCTGTTTTCAACGGCTGTTAGCAAAGATGAATGTTATACACCCTTTGCTAATATCGCGCATTTTTTGGCTTTAAACTCTGAATTTTTCGGTGTTTGTATCCTAACCACCTTTAATTAGATCTGTTTTCTTATCTAAAGTTATCTTTATTGAAACTTGTTTGCGGTAAACCATTGGCTCCCATGACACTCTTAAATTTTTACTTCAAGTCTTATCTAATGTTGCAGTTTGAAATGAAATTAGAACAATCGAATATACATTTGAGCCAATTAGCTCTATCCGTATTTGCTCTAATATCCACTCTCTCAAAACAAATGCACAAGGCATGAGTGAAATATATCATGTCAAAATCGTGCCAATTATTTACTAAGTAAACATGCAAGAGAAACCATTTAAAACATATGAAAATGGCTACTTCGTCGCTGATGTAATTGAATCCAACTGCCCACCAGCAAATGGATATACGCTTGCATGAAGTTGTTAGAATTGTTCTAGAAGTTTTAAGCTTATTTTTTCAAGAAGCTTAAGGTTTAGAGATAAGTAAGTTTCCTCTTTTTATCATTTCAAGTCAAAACCAAATCGTTAAAGTATTGTGATATATCTTTGTGTGCTTGCATGAAGTCACTGTAATTATTCTAGAAGCGTAGGGCTTATTTTTTTCAAGAAGCTTAAGGCTTAAAGATGAGTTACATTCCTCTCTTTATCAACTAAAATTTATGCCAAGCTGTGTTAGTATATATTGTCGTATTTCATAATCTTAAGAAGATATTTCCTTTCCAAATTATTGATTTTAAGTTGTTGTGACATGAAGATAGTCTGTGATTTCCAGTGGGCAATGATTGTTGCCGCTGAATACTTTTTGCATACCATTTCTATAGTCACGTTTTTTTGGTATGTTTCGTCCGCCACTTTGAAAGAGGGGTGCAAAACTGCAAGAACTGAAATGTTTCATGCGCTGTATCATCCAGAAATTTCGTTACAAAATTGTAAGAGAGTTGAGGGAATGTATTCTAGTTTTCAAAACGTGGTTGTTTTTCAAATTAAGAAACTCACGTCATTTCATTGTCTTACGACAGCTCTTATAACCTCAAGAAGGTTTGCCATCTAAAACTTCCTGATTTTCAATACCTATAAATGTGATTAATTAATCGTATAGTATTGGGCCGATAAGCTTAAGCTAAATCTAAACTTAATTCTTACAAGATAAATGAAAAAATTCAGCCAAATAGCCAAGGTCAGTTAGACAGCTAAGAATCCTATTGTCCGGTCACGCCCATTTTTGACCATTACCATGCTCCACCGCACGACAAAAAACCATTTGAAGACAAACTCTGGTGAACTCCAACGTGACAACTTAGGTATTTTGTGCGCTACTCACAATGACGAGAATTCCTCGGATTTATTGACATTCTTGCCGAAGATTTACTGGCTCTTTCTTAATAGAGATTTGTTTCAAATCGGCCACGTTGTTATGATAACATTTCTGTTGAAATAAAGCTTTCTCCATGTCTTTTTAAAGTGATGCTATGAATGCTGAATGCAATAAATCTTCCTTCATTGTTTTGTGAAATTGACGCTGTAAGAAACCAATCTTTTAGGTTTCGCTTGAAACTTTTCCATCCATGAAACGTGCCTCAAATTTTGGGCGGATATGATAGTCAGACCGAGAAAGAAGACGCCCGCTCGCGTAAACCGCGAGCAAACCGCGTTCAAACCGCATGTAAACCACATTTAGGACAGAATCACGGTAGGCAATAATACAACGGAAAGTTCCTACCATTGAAATTCCCTGCAGATAGTGATATGTGTACTCAGGCTAGCAGTTCAAACATTATAATGGTCTCATAATTTTATTTACATCTGAATATTAAGGAAATTTAATTTTTTTCACGTGCGCAATACAAAGAAAATCCTAAGTTCGCCCGTAGCACGAGTCAAACCCAAGTGTTTCTTACAAAATGTATTTTTTGATTAAATTTAAAATTAAGCGTGGTTTTAATTTGATTGAAACAAAATTAATTACTATTCCTAATGAGCTCATCTATAAAAGATGACTCTTACGGGAGTGGAATGATTTTCCACGATAGACATTTGCACAATATAGTCGTTGGGAAATGTAGTGAACTGTGTTGATCACAGTCCCGCTTAACTTTACAGCCTTTCCAACGAGCGTCTGGGGCTGTTTTTGGTTACAGGCAAGGGTTTGTTATGACAGCGAGTTACAGAATTGAAAAGAAGCTCCAGTGAATCTTAGCATGGCGCAAACTGATCATGAATTAAGGGTTTGTGTATTGATGAAATATTCGAAACTTGAAAAGAATGGCAACATTTGGTTTCGAAATAACACATGAAAGGTTTTGGAAACAGAGCGCTAATACGTGTAATTGACCTGTCCCGGCTAACCGTTTCCAGGTGAATATAATTTCCGCGTTCAATTCTTTGGATCAATATTAGTATCTGGGCAAATGCCCACCTACCCCTCCCCCAACCCAACATTAACCTTAATTAACTTGTTGTCAATTGACTGTTGTTGAGTTTGGGGAGGGGTGGGTGGACAATTGCCCAGATACTGATATTGATCCAATTCTTTTAACCCCCTTTTTGTCGGCATGTTTTTCATGTCTTAAATTTCGAACTAGGAGTGAAACGATGATCAAAAGCTGAATTCTTCCATCTGCTTACTTTTAATTGACTCAAAGTTGTTAGGAGAACTTAAATCGTCGTGTTGGCCTCTTGCATAAGACATACAGAAGTGTTTTGAATTTAGCTTGTTTGTTGAAGTTGTGCGCTGTAGGCCATATTTTGCAGAACTTGAAAAGGTTATCACGTTATCGCGGTGAGGATTTTAGAACGCAGTCAAGTGCAATTCGATTTTAGCACTATACTTTTAAGCACATGAATTTTACACAGTCATACCAAATAAACTTTGATGTTGGTATTTTACAGTAGGCTTAATCCTTCGCTTTGAACCGACACCCCACTCCCCACTCCCCTCCCTCTTCCCAAATGGGAGGGGGGGAGGGGGGAGGAGGAAATATTTGCTCGTTCTGTTCGATGATTTTGGGATTCACTGCATGCGTGCGCGATGCTGTTGTATGGTTTAACCAAATTCAAAATGGCTACTTCATACAAAATATAATAGTCTAAAACCAAGACAAAATCTTTTAAATACATCAACGGACTTAAACTAATATGCATGCATGCTTCAACACGCTTCGTGTACCTGATGTGTAAACTCAGACGTAAAAATGCATTAAATTTTTTTTTTTAACGCACATTATATAAACAAATTATTTTCTTTGCAAATATGAAACACCGATATAGAATAACCATTGTTTAAGTGATAAGCGAACAGGATTAAAATATAAGCTATTTTCAATGTTATTAGAGGATAAAAAAGGAGAAGGTTCTTTTGTTGTCTATACGCTGTTCTAAGCGTGTGGTAAAAACACGTGAAGTAACACCAGAAAACATATGTTTAGAAGCTCACAGAATTTCACCAGATTTTCAAGATTACCCCAGTTTCCTCTGAAATTTGCTTTGCAGAGTTCTTTTTTCAGCACAGCTAGGAAATTCAATATTAGAAGCTTTATCGCCATTCCTTCTTTGTCTGTATATCCGACCACCCATTTCGACACCCCAAGTTATTTAAGTTGTTTGCTATGAAAGAGGCTTACAATGTTGACAGGCTTATAGAAACGTGCGGTAGAGCAAGTTTCCGTTCACGATTAGAAGGTAGTTTGCGATAACGTTATCGGCTGTTAAAGTGCAATCTATAGATATGCATATACATTTCTTTTTTGCTAACGAAAATCCGGTCGGCTTTCAGCTCATAGAATCTGAAGAACATTTGAATCTTCAACTATCCAGACATTCTATTCACAGCTCTTTCCAAGATAAATTTAGCGAAAAGTCAGGGTGGGCTGTTTCAGATTTCTCTTGTGCGTCCACGTCCAAAGATGAGAGCTGATTTACAGCTTCTAGAAGTCTGGTGAGCGGTTGACGCTTATGAAAACAAATATCTGAAATTAGCTTAAAACCTTAAAAAAAAATAAAAATTCACACGGGAAAAAGGCAGATCGATGGATATTGAAGTGAAGATAAGCTAAGGAGCTGAGCTTGGGATAAAATGACCAAAAGCGAAGCTAGGCGTCGGCAGATAAGAGGGCTAACGTTAGCACGCTTAAATTAGCACCATCGGATCAGTGGTCAGTGGCGAGTTAAGTGCGGAAAGTGTTGTAGCATGATGGATGATCCATCAAAAAATTATAAACTTATAGTTTTACTTTCATATTAACATGTCATCAGCGTTTAAAATTTTTTCACTGCTTTTTTTCTACTCCCTAATATTCGTTTGGTGTGTTGTTAATTTAGTTGGGAGATTTGCAATATTGATCAATTTTACAGACTAAAAATAGCGACTAAATAGTGACTATTTATTGGTTAAAGATTGATATAACTGTTTTTCGACGTTTTTCCTTCTGCTTGCAGTTAATAACTCCGAAATTTCCTGTCGTGGTGAAGGTTGGCCATGCGAATGGTGGATATGGCAAGGTAAGGAAGGTTTTTTTTTTTTTAAAGTGTTGTCATAATTCATCAAACTTAGACAAACTAGACAATTTTTCGTCATCACGTATTTCGCAATCAAAGTCATTTAACCACGTACCACCAGTCTGCGAGACTGTCTGTCTGCCAGACAAATCCTTAAATCTGTGGGCACCAGTCCTACGAGTGACAGATCCTTTCCAGATTATGACGCCTCCAAAAATATCCCAATGTTTTTTTATTTGTTTTTTTTTAGATTGTTTTGATTGAATAATAAATATTTGGAAGTTATGGAATGGTCACTGGCGAAAGAAAGGAAGAGGTGGAGATGGTTAACACCCTTTTTTCCAACCGTTACCGAAATAAAAAAATCAAACACTGTGGCTCAGCTAACCATTCGAGAGTTTGTAACGCTGATTAACGCTACCTCGGTAGACCCCAGACTCCTATACAGTAGTCTGCTCTTTCCCCCCACCCCTGTGCCCACGTACCTTCCGTTGTGATCGATTTGCCACCAATGAGATACAAACCCCAGGCTGTGGATACGACATAAATATTGTCCGATATGGCCGGACTTTTTCGCTCATCTTATAATGAAACCAGCTGAGTTCATCATATTCCTGTTTAGGTTTGTGTTCACAACCACCGCAGCTTCCAGGATATCGCGAGTATTGTAGCCTTGACGGATACGTACGCCACAACTGAACCTTTTATTGCAGGCAAATGCGACGTTAGAATTCAGAAAATTGGTACCCACTACCGAGCTTTCAAGTAAGTCTTTTTGGTTTGTTGTTTAGCTGCTTTATTTCAGCTATTTCAAGTATGACAATGATATTTGTTTTGTACTGGAGCGTAAAGAAGTGCGGAGTATTTGTCAAATTCAACGGTATTCGGACCAGCTGAATATTTCCCGCCAAAACTGCGCGCCGTTTTCGCTGTCTGCGTTACCAAGTCTTTGCCACCAGAGAAGCCGTGAGTCCTGGGAACGAGATTAATGTAGGTTTTGTTTTGCGTTGCGTTATGTTAGGGCAAACGTGAAACAGTAAAAATTGTACCTTACCGTCAACCGATCGCAGCTGTTTGTGCACTAAGGTGAAAATACTAGCACTGGGTGTGAAGAAAGGAAATGCGTGACGAACATTGGATTTGAGGAAAAAAAATCAGTATCACCTGTGCTGATTGCCGTTGCTTTAAACGACAGGTTTCATTGGTAACTGAAATTGAACTTGAGAGTACAAATAGTACATTATGTAACGTTAACACTATATCACCACAGATCAGCAGTTAACTCGTGTTTATTTTATATTCTGCTTAAAGACGAACATCCATTTCGGACAATTGGAAGACCAACACAGGGTCCGCTGTCCTTGAGGAAATAGCTATCACCGACAGGTATATTTTGTTATGACCTTATGTCAATCTTGCTTTCTTGGGTAGTGTTGCTATCCTTCGCCCTTCGAGCGTGATTCTTTTTCCTGCCGCTCAAAAAATCACCCCAGCTCACGCTCGCTGGTCATTTTCTGACCTACGATTAAGGTAGCGCGATTTAAGCCTGGACTGATGAACCTATCTAACATTTGTGAAAACTAGGAAAAGGCCCTACAGTTGGAGAAGAAAGAAGTTTTTTAAATGATCCTGTTTTCTCCCAAAAACTCTCGATTTTAATGGGGAGAGCACAGAAGACGAGGCCAGCTCAAAACTCTTCGGGATGACCTTGGAGATTTTCGTAACACGCTCGGACGTCGTTGGCAATCATCATATTCGTGCCCTATGACTAGAAAGAAATTTTGTGGATATACTTTCGATCCAGGGCAGGGGCGTGTACCGGAGTAAACTCGTTTTGCGCCTCAGTCTTTGTCTGAAAGATTTTCCTCTTTCAGACGTTTCTAAACGCAACAACATGTACTGTTGCTCGCAAGGTTTTTCTACAAAAGTTTCTTAATTTTCATCTTTTTGCTGCAGGTATAAGAAGTGGGTTGACGAATGTAGTCAGCTGTTTGGAGGTGGCCTGGACATTATGTGTGTGGAGGTTATTGTAGGAAAGGACAACAAGGACTATATCATCGAGGTAACTTGAGAAATTTGAAAAGCTGACGTTTCGAGCTCTATGGATTGTGGTTTGTAAGTGTGTTTCTGTCGAGGAGAATGGGGTTGTCAGCTCTTGTGGTTATTTTCTTCGTCTTGTCACGAGCACGAGACATAAAAATTATAAGTCCCCATGATAAATCGAAGCTTAGATCTTTGGTTCTGCGCTCTGATGCTCTGCCATAGAGCAACAGAGAGTCTGCAGCTAGCTGGGCCATTATAAGGTACGAATACAAAACACATCCTGCATCTTACCGCTAAAATCAGCAGTGGTAAGTAATGATGCAGAAAGAAATGGACCCAGTTTGCTGTTGATATCTAACTAAGTGCTTCACTTGCCCGCTGATGCAGC